GGTGGGAAAAACATATCGACGCAGACGACTTTTGTATGGTCTTTCTGATAAATTAAGGTATAAATTTATCAGACCTTCAATGAGAATACTTGGACATTTTCTATATTATATTTACCATTTTCGGTATATAAAACGAAAAGATAAGTACTGAAAAGTCACATTTGGTGTTTATCTTTCGTGTTACATCTCATATAATGTCACTGTACTCTGAATAATTATATATCTTAACAACATTCCTTTTTCGTTACTAAATTAAATTAATAATTTAATTAATAATTTAATTAATTATATAATAATATACAGTTTTTATAATAATTATGTATATCAATTAATTATGCACAAAAAGGAAATGCCATTCAGATTGGGGACTGTTATCTTCAGAGATTGAGCTTCTTCCCGTCGTGTTATGGATTAGGTTGGTTGCAGATAACATTCTAGGCTTTGTTTGTCAAGTTATTATTAAAAATATTGTGCTTTGATAACTGAAAATGTGATAATGAGTCTGTTTGTTTATTAACTCTTGGCACTTTAACTGCTTAGCCAATTATTATGGAATTTGACGTTCATGTAGTATTTTTGAATGACAAGAATATAGGAGGAGGAGATAATATCCTTTATTTCGGTCATGACAACTTGCTTGGGCACATCTTTCCCAATTCTAGATTCCCAAATCTAGATTCATGTTTCTACCGTGAAGTAGTTGTGTTTCGGCTTGAAGGGTGGGATATGGTAGTGAATTTACAGGGTACAGAGGAATAACACCTGAGTCCTCAGGAACGGCAGCGCATGGAGGAGTATCATAGGCGAAACAGTATACTCTGTTATGTCCATGGTACTGCTCATGTCTGGTAAGGGTTACCACTTTCCATCAGATGGGCCGTCTGCTTGTTTGCCATTCTAAGTTGCATAAAAAAAAAACAGTATACTCTGTTATGTCCATGGTACTGCTCATGTCTATAGGCGACGGTTACCACTTTTAATCAGGTGGGCCGTCAGCTTGTTTGCCATTCTAAGTTGTATAAAAAAAGGGTACAGAGGAATAACACCTGAGTACTTAGGAATGGTAACGCATGGGGGTATCAGGAGCGAAGCAGTATACTCTGTTATGTTCATAGTACTGCTCACGTCTGGCAACGGTTACCATTTTCCATCAGGTGGGCCGTCAGCTTGTTTGCCATTCTAAGTTACATAAAGAAAACTTGATCGTAAGTTACTCATTGGAATTTTTCATTGTGACTGATTTTGATGAAAGCCTCCAATTTGGTTACAGAATACAAGGCTCGATAACAAGAAAAGACAAGAAACTAAACTAAAGAAACTTCTACCAATCCCCTAATAACAATAACACAACAGACAGACATATCAACGTATCAGATCCATTTAAATTGACAGCACAATTAAAAGACGGTTTAATTACTGATGGTACGATACAGAATTATTCTATGGAAGTTATTGTATTCAATAAGATTTAAAAGCAAAATGAAAGTAAAAGAATACTACTTGATAAGTGTCTAATTAGAACATAGTCAATAATTTTTTTTATACAACTTAGAATGGCAATCAAGCTGACGGCCCACCTGAAAGAAAGTGGTAACCGTCGCCTATAGACATGAGTAGTACCATGGACATAACAGAGTATATACTGTTTCGCCCATGATACCCCCCATGCGTTGCTATTCCTGAGAACTCAGGCGTTATTCCTCTGTACCCAGTAAATTCACGCCATATTCCACCCTTCAAACCGAAACACAGCCATGCAAACACAACTGCTTCACGGTTGAAACACGAATGGGACACAGGTACCCAAGCAATCGACTTTTGTACAAAGATTCCCTCTGGTAATACTATTAAAAATGTGTCGAATTTTGTAAGGAAAAATTAACTTACGGTGACGTTTCCGAACAGATATGACTTGGGATACTTTAAGAAGAGAGCTAATTACAATATTAGTTAAATTATTAAAAAGTTGGCAATGTACAGCTGATTTCTCTGGTGATGTTAGTTTTATAACACGGGGGGCAAACGAGCATGCGGCTCACCTGATGGTAAGTGACTACCGCCGCCCATGATCACCCACAACACCAGCGACATTACAAGTGTACTGCCGGCCTTTTAAAAAGGAATAAGCTCTTTTCGTGAAGGTCATGTTACTGTCTATGGGTTATTGTAGTCACTTATCTTTAGATGAGCTGCTTGTTCCTTTGCCACTCTTTCATATAAAAAAAGTAAATCCGCAAATTTTGTGGTTTTGCGGTAGAATCACAGAGGAAGTGATTACTATGGATAGAATAATAATAGAGTCGATTATGAGGCATCATTCTCTATTTATAAAATTGAAATTTTAATTTGATATTATTGCGAAATGAAGGGCGTCGGACATAGCCGGAAGGATAATTGAGCAAAGCAGTTATATAATAAGGGATGTCTATATCCAAAAGTGTACTTCACTTTTCACATTCAGGTTATGGAATGAGCTCCCTGCAGAGGTTTTCCCAAGAGACTACAACATGGGGTTCTTCAAAAGTGGGGTAAAGAGGTTTCTTCAGGGTCGGCAACGCGCGCGTAATACCCCTGGTATTGCAGGCGTTCATAGGCTACCGTAACCACTTACCATCAGGTGGGTATGCTTGTTTGCCACCTCAATGGTATAAAAATAAACTTTTAATTCTGGATAGTCCATGCCGTTTGCTAAACTATCAAATTCTAATTATAATAAGTTTCCTCACAATCGACTTAAATATCTAATCTTTTATTAGATTTTTAACCAATTTTCCTAAAGAGACAGTGCTTTGAATGTTTCTGGGTAAATATGTAATTGTAAATTGCATTTCGAAGCTCCATAGATGTTCAAAAGGTCCAATTGATTTCATGGTAAGGTGATTCCAAAGAGAACGGTCAATGGACAGTGACCTAATACAAATGAATTCGATTGTGGCCGTGCGTTCACCTCGCGCGGAGTTATCACCGGCTCGGATCCGTGACCTTTATTGGGAATGAAAGCGAATGATCAATTGTCCCCGTTCGAGGAAGAAACGCTCACCTCTCGTTAAATAATGTTACGTGAATTCACAATGATATTTTCAAATAAGCGGCTTCATTTGTCATAAAGAATCTTTGATAATCAGCACAATTACTTTATTTATAATTATTATTTCAGCCGTTAACCCTTCTTTGTATGATTTTGTTTTATTGGTGAAATAAATCAAAGTGATATATTTATGTTTAAAATTAAAGGAAAAATGGTTAAAAAATAAATTGACAGCTATGTTTTTTTTTCTGCAATGTACATTAAAAAATTATCCAGACACGATCAATTTAAAGTGAACTTGGTCTTTTATGTAAGTTTTAGGCATTCAATGTTATGATGGAAATTTTCACCATTATGCAAAAAAGGGTTAACTATCCACTGCTGTACTTTCCCCATAAGGGGAGTTTTGCCAGTAATTGCTACGCTAATAAATTATAACTTATACACTGTTTAAAAATTCATAGCAATATTATTGCATGTAGGTAATTCATTCAACGTAATTAGCTTCAGGATTGAATTAAGTTTGACGTTAAAAATGAGACAACTTACGTATGCAATGACATTATCTTATTAATTTAATATAATAAAATTAAATGATATCTGTATATAATAATTAATTAAAGAAAATTCATATATATATATATATATATATATATATATATATATATATATATTTGAAATTTATCTATAAATAATATACTGTCTTGCATATTACATTTTTAATCAAAAACCTTAACAAATGTTTAAATTTAAAACAATTTACTTCTAATATATTATTGATATTTAAGTTTTTATTTGTTTTCGTTTACTATTTGCTTCTTAAAACTTGCTTTTCTAGTATTAATATTAAAAATATTGTATAATATTAAAACTGTCGCTATGCGTTTTATTATTATTAATTAAATTCTTAATTGATAGGCAAAAGTTAGACATTCTAGCAAGTTACCTCTATGTTCCATTTGTCTGCTAGATAGACTGTCATATCTGTCTGTTTACTGTATATCTATCTTTTTATTGTACGTATAATCTGGTAGTATTGTTTTATTGTTGCCCTATTCCCTTTGGCCGCAACAGAATATCAGTGCTTTGCTCTTTTGAGGGCGAAGCAATAAACTGAGCTGTTGCCATTTTGTATTGCTATGGCACACTCGCAAACGAAAATTGTATTTAGCTTTATGTATTTTTTTTTATCATTTATGTTATCTCGCTTTTTTTTTTGTATATGTATGTTGTAATTTGTGTGCTGTAAGTAAGTAATGCAAATAAATTATCTATCTATCTATCTATCTTAAGTTTTTTAATGGTTGGGTAAATTTGATATATTATTCCACAATAGACAAAAGATCATTAAATTCAGCGAAGATACTTAACTAGATATTTAACAATAGTTGAACTCTTCGGATAGATTAACAATACTAATTGTCTGAATATAGATAAAGCGGTAACCAATAATCTGCGAGATTTTGATATTAGGTATAACTTACAAGTAAGAATCGGCAATTTATCCATTTTTGCTAAATGTCTAATAAAGTATAGAATAGAATAGGCCACCCCTTCCTTTCCCGTGGGTGTCGTAAGAGGCGACTAAGGGAGGGTGAGGTTTTTTTTTAATGGATGATAATGGAATGGTAACCCCACCCGCGCTATCGGTATACACCGGCGGGGCACCAGTGAAGGATGATAGATGAGGATGAAGCAGGTCAGTTAGCCCATCGTGATGAATTCAACAAGAATTGTTCACGATGGTTTCCAGGAGGAACTATGTGGAGATAGACCTAATAAGGCATATTGCTAGCAATGGGGCTGTCAAACTCCATTGCTAACAATCCCTTTCCCCCTGCAAAACATCTCCAAAGCCTAACTGCGGTTACCAATCCAAAACTCCCCAAGGGGGAGGCTTATGTTCAGTGATGGACAGTTTACGGCTGAGATGATGATGATGACGATGATGATCTAATATAATCATAAAATATATGCTCAAAGTAAATTTAATATGATTAAATACGATATTTTTCAGTACATTACTTTTTTACATTAATTTTGATAAACCCATATGAAAAATTTCTTTCATTCTATAACTACAATAGTATGTCTTTACTATGTTTATATTTCATTTGCTTTGAAGTTATCCGATTTAACGTTGAAGGTGAAACAGCATACTTGGTCAGCGTTATCTTGGTTCCAGAACTTGACCTTGACGGGAAATTTGCCCTGTAAAATTAACAGGTTTTTATATTGAAAGGTGAGTTTGTCGGTTTTTTTTAGCTGTTTTTAATATATTAGAAACTGGGGGGAAAGGGATTGTTAGCAATGGGGTTTGACAGCCCCATTGCTAGCAATATATCTTATTAGGTCGACCTCCACGTGGTTCCCCCTGGAAACCATCGTGAACAATTCTCGTTGAATTTGTCACGATGGGCTAACTGACCTGCTTCATCCTCACCTATCATCCTTCACTGGTGCCCCGCCGGTGTATACCGATAGCGCGGGTGGGGATACCATTCCATTATCATCCATTAAAAAAAATATATATATACATCAGAAACTAATATGGAATACGTAGACGTAACACCTTAGTTCTCGGGATCAACGCATAAAAAGTTTCATGGGTGTCACAGTGTATTCTCTAGGTAATAAATAAGTTAATGGCCTGCCCAATGGAAAGTGACAACCGTTTAAAGACAAGAACAGCACCATTATTATCACAGAGTGTGATGCCTATGGCACCCATCAGATTGACTATTTTTTAATAACATTTTTAATACCGCTTCCCTATTTTTTTTTATGGGTGAAAATGGTATGGTAACCCCGCCCGCGCTAACGGGATACGCTGGCGGAGCACCAGTGAAGGGTGATAGATGAGAATAAAAACAGGCCAGTTAACCCATCATGATGAATTCATCAGGAATTAACCATGATAGTTTCCAGGGGGAACCGCGAAGAGGTCGACCTAGTTGGGTATATTGCTAGCAATGGGATTCTCAGCCTCTATTACTAACAATCCCTTTCCCTCCCATCGCTTCCCTATTTTCAATTGACTTCAAAACTAAGGTAAACCTCCTTCTTAACTCTTAATTCGTTTCTATCTGTATTGTACCTATATAACTTCGTCAATTGTAAACCGATTTGGAAAATTCTTTTTTTATCCGAAAGCATATACTTCCAGATAGATTCCATAGAAATTTTATCAAAATCGGCTTAGTAATTTAGTTTTAAAATCAAAATAATTAGTTTTGGCACAATTAAAGTCGGTTTGTTTATGAAACACAATCATAATTTTTTTTTGTTGGATGAAAATGGTATTGTAACCCCGCCTGTGCTAACGGGATACGCTGGCGGAGCACCAGTGAAGGGTGATAGATGAGAACGAAAACAGGCCAGTTAGCCTATCATGATGAATTCATCAGGAATTAACCATGATAGTTTCCAGGGGCAACCACGAGGAGGTCGACCTGGTTAGATATATTGCTAGCAATGGGATTTTTAAGTCTCCATTACTAACAATCCCTTTCCCCCCAACACAATCATAATTATGATCAATAATTTACCGAAGCTTTCTTATCCAATTTAAGTTTGAAGTTTGCGGTGTGCGCAAGCGACGTACGCCTCAGGGGACAGTCGATCGCATCGCACGCGTTCCTCGGGCTGTCTATTATGTTGTAAAAAGTGTACGTGTTATCAAAATCACCGTAGATGGCATATTGTAACCTTTCTGCAGAGAATTCTGTAATTAACAATATATATATATATATATATATATATCAGTTAGTATTATAAATAAACACTAGGTCGTATAGGGAGGTCAAAGACATGGATTGGAATAGAGCTGGCTGGAAGAAAATACCACAGATAATAAATTAATATTTTTTCTATGATAGCACCTCTTACGAGGTCATATCATACAGCGCTATCTAGTAAGCAGCGTTTGTACTATTTTATTTTTATGCAGCTTGTAATAGCCATATGCGTTTGTATGGACAGCCTGGTGGGTCGTGACCATCTTAAAACTGTCTAGTGCCCAACCCAGGATGCGAATGAAGTAAAGCTTCCAGTTATGCCTAAAGACATGTCTGGGAATACACAATGTGCCTTTTTAAACGGTTCAAGCCTCGCTTAAAAAATAATTTTAAGGCGGTTGGTCACAAACCAGTTTTTATTATTTGATAACTAAAGATAATTTGAGGCAAAATTTTTAAATTGGTTAGTGAAAAATTTACTCCATATTGGTCTTTCGATTTTCTAGAGCTGAGTTTAAAGAAACGGCGCATCAGAATTGACCATAATCTGATATAATTTAAATCTAAAACAAAATATTTACGATAATTATATGGGCTGTTTGATTGTTTGCCAGTTAAAGTTTAATAAAAAAAAAAAAGAAAAAATAACTTACTTGGTGTGAAATTTACATCGATGTCATATATTTTGTCCGTCTTGATGTTACAAAATCTTGGTCCTTTGCTACACGGATCCACACTCACATAGTTAATTTTGCAATGAGACTGGTTGACTGTAAAATAAAAAAGAAATATTATTATCTGATCTATTATTATAAAGAGTAGTTAGTAGATTATACGGATAGAGTGTCTCCATACTGATGCTTCGAAAAAAAAACGGGTTAACTTTTCCATACAATTTTGCGTGAAAAATAGTTACGAGTGATTTCTTTATAACTTTTATATTTATTTTGTTTCATTAATTCTGCATCTTTTAACGCGTAAACACTCTTTGTATTTATTAAATAACTAATTATAGATACGTCAAGATACATTGTGTGTGTAAGTATATAGAACATATACTTACACATATATAGTATACTAGAGGGAGACTTCATACAAAAGTCGATTGCTTGGGTACCTCTGTCCCATTCGTGTTTCTACCGTGAAGCAGTTGTGTTTGCATGGCTGTGTTTCGGTTTAAAGAGTGGGATATGGCGTGAATTTACAGGGTACAGAGGAATAACATCTGAGTCCTCAGAAATGGCAACGCATGGGGTGTATCATGGGCGAAACAAAATACTCTGTTATGTCCATGGCACTGCTCATGTCTATAGGCGACGGTTACCACTTTCCATCAGGTGGGCCGTCAGCTTGTTTGCCATTCTAAGTTGTATATAAAAAAAAACACATTAATAAAAAAAAAGAGTTAGTAATTTGACAGCTGACAAAAAGTAGACCCTTTTTTGAAGCTATCTATAAAAACAAGATATGTATATAGTTTTTTTTAGGTTCCCCCTATGGTGTATACTTTCCCGGATATTAAATTCCAGGCTTGTTACTGCTTAGATTAATACGCAATTATTGTTTTTTTTTTTCTTTCCATCCTTCTTACTTTAATACGATTTTTATTTATTTCATCCTTTAACTTTTTCTTATTAGCGTGGATAATATTCTTTAATTTTGTCTAATATTGTTTTATTTATTTATTTTATTTTTCTTAAGTTCAATTTCCTAAGCATTGTGTTCATTCTATTACTACCTTTCCTGTTGACACGACCAATTTTTTATTATACCTGCGATCGACTGGTTGGTCACCCCTCATTTATAGAAAGCTAGATTATTGGCGAGTAACATAGGGCGTATTTTGTTAAAAAAACGTGCAATGCCGGTGCGTGTCGTGTATATATTATGCAATATATAATTTGCTACATTGTATGTCAATAAATGATAGATCATAATAGACGAGAAAAAACAAGATAAATAGGACGGCGACCTCAAATAACGAGATACGGACAAATGAGTGATAATATTTTAAATTAAAATATATGCCACGTATTGGGGGGTATCATGGGTGAAACAGTATACTCTGTTACGTCCATGATACTACTCATGTCTATAGGCGACGGTTACCGCTTTCCATCAGGTGGGCCGTTAGCTTGTTTGCCATTCTAAGTTGTATAAAAAAAAGTACTAACCTTTATAAAAAACGTTTGCATAAAGTCGCGAGATACCACTAGGTTTTTCTAGTTCTGCACTGTGAAGCAGTAACAATACGTCTCTTTTTTCGTCTCATTTTTCATTCCCATAATATCGTAAAAGTTCACTAAGCAATAATTATTTTTATTTTTTGTATGTTTTAGATCATCATCATCATCATCATCATATCAGGCATCTCCCATTGAGGGGAGTTTTGTCAGTAGTTGCCACGCTTGGCAGGCACGCATGTCAGCTTTGGAGATGTTTTCAGAGGGACGCTGCTGCCCATTCCTCGCTCTCTTAATCGCCTCTTACGACACCCACGAGAAAGGAATGGGTGGCTTATTCTATGCCGGAACTACACGGCAATGCTTCAGATAATTAAGGTTAACGACCCCGGATTAGAGCGTTTCACGTATGTATATGTGTAGTTTTGTTTTCCTTTAATTATTATAAAAAAAAAAAACAATAAATTATTAACTCACCCTCTTTACATAATTTCTTCGTGACATATTCACAATTTACAGTGATTAATGAACAAAGGAAAAGAACAAAATAAAACGACATCCTGGTCAGCGCGCTGTCGACTTACTGATAATGCCACGAGAATAGGCTATCACATATTAATTGTAGTGGAAATAGGAACATATATACATATATATTAATATATATTACTCGTAAATGTATATCATACAATTGTCAATAGTTATTTTACTAGTTTTTTGCCAGACGGACAGACAGACATACTTTTTGGTTACTGTTGGTCTTAGTAAGGCTTGTAGTAAGTAAAAATTTTATTGTTTTATATTTTTCTTGACAGTCCAGCTGATGGAAAGTGGTATATGGCCTATAGACATGAGCAGTACCATGGACATTGCAGAGTATACTGTTTCATCCATGATATTCTCCATGCGTTGCCATTCCTGAGGGCTCAGTTATTCCTCTGTACCCTGTAAATTCACTGCCATATTCCACCCTTTAAAGCGTAACACAGCCCTGCAAACACAGCTGTTTCACGGTAGAAACACGAATGGGACAGAGGTACTAGTTTTTGTGCAGTCTTCTTCTGGTGTCTTTCTTGTCTACGGTTGACTGGAAGATATGTGGCCACATGTTGTTAAATTCGCTTTTAATACTATCTTGGTGTATTGAATATAAATAAATAATATTATATATAATTATTTATATACAAAAATAGATGTCTGAGTTCATGACATCACCAGAGGGAGACTTTGTACAAAAGTCGATTGCTTGGGTACCTCTGTCCCATTCGTGTGTCAACCGTGAAGAAGTTGTGTTTGCATAACTGTGTTTCGGTTTGAAGGATGGGATATGGCGTGAATTTACTGGGTACAGAGGAATAACACCTGAGTCCTCAGGAATGGCAACGCATGGGGGGTATCATGGGCGAAACAGTATACTCTATTATGTCCATGGTACTGCTCATGTCTATAGGCGACGGTTACTACTTTCCATCAGGTGGGCCGTCAGCTTGTATGCCATTCCAAGTAGTATAAAAAAAAAAAATCTTTTTTTATACAACAGAATGGCAGACAAGCTGACGGCCCACCTGATGGAAAGTGGTAACCGTCGCCTATAGACATGAACAGTACCATGGCCATAATAGAGTAGGTATTCTGTTTAGCCTATGATACCTCCTATGCGTTGCTATTCCTGAGGACTGAGGTATTATACCTCTGTACCTTATAGAATCGTGGCGATGAAGTCATAAGAATAAACCATAATTATACCTTTATAGTCTATTTCAATAGAACATAATAAAAATATAAACAAACGAATAAATTACCAGCCAATAAAAAGTTTGTTGACGTCCAACAGCAGTATTAATTAAAAACCAATTAATTGTTTAAATGGTTCTATTTAATACTGATTTAACTAAGAGAGAGTTTCTGTGACAGTTTAAACATAATTTGGTTACTTTGTCATTAAATTCTATTGAAATATACTAGGTCTAAATGTGTTCTTTTATTACATCGTGGCGATAAAATTGTACGTAGATCATATGCTTTTAGATGGAGTGTTTCGAAATAAACGCTTGGTAAAAAACAGGCCCAATGTTTATTTATATTACAGTAGTAGTATTAATTTAGTTGAAAAAAAAAATACATATACTGTAACACAATTGTAATTTTAAACGAATTCATGATTGCATCTTTAAGTGAAAGAGAGGAACAGCGTGTGAGAGAGAAGGATATATGTATGACCTTTCTGCTGTATCATTGCGGAGGACATTACGATTTAGAAAAACAAGCAATAAAGACGAACATTTGCAAAGATGAGAAATTAAAGAAGTTCTTTTGAAAAAGTTGTTTTTGCTAAAAATATAAATCCCACATATATGTATATTCATATTATATGAGAAATATTTTCCAATTCAAATTTAAAAAATTCACATGATTTGGGTTATTTTTATACTTATTTGTTGTTTCCGTATGGTTTATTTTTATACAATCTGAAATTAGCTGACGGTCCTGATAGACAGTGGTAATCGTCGCCATGGTCTAACATTCGAAGCTCCATGAGCATTGTTAGAAATGATTTTTATCTCTCTAAAAATCTTTTTTTTTTAAATTGATATTATTTCCTTCGATTTTCTCCGTTTTCATTACACTTTACCAAGTACTACCTTTAACTTAACCACTGCAGGAGCGACTTAAAAAAAACCGCCCTACTATTTTTTACATTGATGTCGAATTTTTTTTTGAGAAACTTGAAATCGTCAGATTAAAAAAAAAGTCTCCAAATTTCTCTAGAAGCATAAATGTATGCTCTTATAAAAATATCTAATAATTTAATTTTTCCAAAATTTATCCAACAAAAAATTATTACATAAAATTGCGAAAAAATAACCAATCTAGCGACGCTGCATTATATCTCCATCTAGAGGTGAATTATCTATGTAACATACGTAATACACAATCAGTTCGACCCGATAGGTTTTGAACTTTATGATAATAAATACAAGATAATAAATAAAATGACACTGTGTAAAGAAATATGACAAGGTTTATTAAGTTTCTTCAGATTATATATAGTTATTTATTTATTTTTATATATATATATATATTTTATGGCTATAAAATTATTAATTATTTTCTAATCTGGACGGGCGTTTTGAAACAACACCGTTGTGCCTCGTTCTCTTCGTTCCACAAGACCCACTTAAATGTGTATGTACCCTGTAATAAATACAAAATATCAATGTTTTAAAAGTGATCTATACATTTGACGATTTTGGTGGCCTGGCGGTATAACACAACGTCTTACCACAGGCTTTAAGTTTTGAATGTCGCGGGTTCGATCCTCATAGAATACATTTTCCAACTTCCAACCTTCTTCTACTTCTATTTCTAACTAACACTATCTAGGGTCGAGTCATCTTATCCCACACAATACAAATATGTGTTTGTAATTATGACTATGACTGTTTGTACTGATCTGGGTATATATATATATATATATATATAATATGGATATGTACTTACAGATAAAAAAGAATATAGAAATAGTGACAGAATTATTAGGTAATAAACATAAAAAAAATTACAATCGAATTACAAGAACCTTCTTTATTTAAAAATCATGACAAAATGACTATTTATTTTACTCGACTGTCCAAAAAAAGGAGTGTAATGTTTTCAGAGTTTATGTATATGTGTTTTTTGTTCCATCAAAATTTTTAAATGCTATATGAACGTATGAACTATAACAGATATGAACTATATGAATGAATAAGTAAAAAATGAGTAAAAATGTTTCTTTCTTTCTTTCGTATCATCCATATGGGGTATCGTTACAATTCTTACAACATCCCGTATGCACTGGTTATATATTTTTTTAAATAGCTCATATCTAATTATGTAGTCGCATATTTTTCATTTGTAGAGCGAAATGTATTTGTTTGTGATTCCAACGTCCAATTTTTAGAATTTATTGATAGAGCATTGAGCTTTAAAAACGGGTCAACTTTTTGTTCAAGCTAATTGCCATTGTCATTGTCAAGCTAAGTGACAAATTAGCTGACTCGTTTTTTTATCAGTATTGTATATATGAACATACGCATAAAATGTATTTTGACATCTTATTTAATAAATAAAATGAGTGTTTACACATTAAAGAGATGCAGACATTATAAGACAAAATAAATATAGAAGTTATGAAGGAATCACACTTAACTATTTATCACGCAATATTGTGTGAAAAAATTGACCCGTTTTTTGAAGCATTTCTATGGAGACGCTCTATTTATATAATCTAAGAATAGATATCAAATGCAGAGGATTCTTTACACTTACCACGGGTATTTTTTTCCCAATAAGAAGATGGTAGGAGAGGGTGGCCGCCTGCCCGGACTCCACCGGGCAGGTGGTGAACGCGCAGCCATCGGCCATGCCCAGATCAGGGAAAATAGCGCCAGTGTCAGCCCAGTAGACGGCTGTCTTGAGTTTTGTTGTTGAGAATTCTAGAACAATTATTTCCATTTTTTTAACAACACAGGGGGCAAACGAGCATGCGGCTCACCTGATGGTAAGTGACTAACGCCGTCCATGATCACCCAAAACACCAACGGCATTGCAGGTGTGCTGCCGGCCTTTTAAAAAGGAATATGCTCTTTTCTTGAAGGTTATGTTGTCGTACCGGTTCGAAAATATTGCTGCTGGAAGTTGATTCCAAAGAGTGGTTGTGCGTGGGAAAAAGTGCCTTGAAAAACGCACGGTGGAGGACCGCCACTCGTCCAGATGGTTGGGATGAAATTTTAGTTTATGACGGGTTGTATGATGGTAAAAATCAGCAGCAGGTATCAATCCGAGCAATTCCTCAGAGCACTTTCCATGATAAATTCGGTAGAAGATGCACAGAGATGCAACATCTCTACGCAGTTTCAGTGAGTCGAGCCGGACAGTAAGACGCCGATCGTTTCTAGCAGAATCATAGACTTTTTAACCTTAAACAAGCGCTGTAGTGAAGGAATTGTTGGTAATAAGTCTAAATAAACGAAAACAACTCTATTGCTAGCAATATACACGTAGTCACTGTCAGGTCGACTTCCATGTGGTCCCCTCTGTTTAGGAAAAGTGGTTAATTCTTATTGAATTTTTTGCTATAGGCTGATTTGCTTTCATGTGAAAACGATAAAAAATGTAAGCCTTCTGTACTAACATGACACGTTCCGATATCAAATTAGTTTATAAGTATTATAAACATTAGGAAATAAAAAAAAAACTCAGTATTTTTAGATGATAATAAAATGTTAACACTGCATGTGTTATTGGTATATGCTGGCGAAGGCACCAGCGGAGGATAAAAGTTGAACATGTAGTTAAGCCACTAGAAATTAACTATGCCAGTTTCCAGGGGAGACTGCGTGGAGGTCGACCCGACAGGGTATATTACTAGTAACAGAAACTAGACTCTCTTTTTATAAAAGTCCCTTCTTCTTCTTCATCCACATTTAACAACCTTCATTGCTAGGTTCCCTGCCAGGCACTGTTGCTAGACTGAATATTTTTTTCATTTAACTATCTACTGCCGAACAAAGGTTTCTGATGGTGATGACATAGAATGAGCTACCCCTTCTTTTCTTGTGGGTGTCGTAAAAGGCGACCAAGGGAACTTAATGCTCGAGGGATAGGCATCAGCGCGTCATCTTAAAACATCACCAAAGAATGAGTGTGAGATCAGAATGGATGCAACACTATCAGAGAACAATATAGAATACATATTCGAGAACAGTCTAACTAGGGACATTTTTATTAAGTTTGCAAAGTCTTTGTTGAGGGTTATAGCAAGAGAGAACGGAGCAAGAATAGTGGACTAAATACTGGATATGACAAAGATTTAATACATCGATATACATAGTTTACAACTTTATACACATAGTTCATAATTATACATATGTACAGGTTATACAAATATATACATGTATATAAAAAAAAAAACCTCAGTAAAAAATACAGATATAACAATAATACAGAATGGAAGGATGTCGCAAAACACATAGTGACAGAAAACAAAGTAAATTTAAAGAAAAAAAAAACATCACCACAGACTAACTACGATTTGTCAGCAGATGAGGTTACCATTCCATAAATAAATATGCAGAGTGGAACAACTCTTCACTAGACGTACTCAAAAGCAATGCAGGTATTCAATGACGTATTCAGGATCGTTCCATATGCCTGTCAATAGGGTATTAAACAAGCAGTAAACAATTACCAGATAAAATTATGTTTATTTATATGCTACCTTAAGTGTATTGCAAAAAGGTTTTTATTTACTTGGCGTGTAGTCGAATTCCATGGAGACATTGTTGCCCTTTTTCAAGATGCAGGTTTTCTTCGACCGACATGGCGTTATGCGGAGCTGGTTGATTGAGCAGCTGTCGTCAACTGGAATATAACAAGAATTAATATAACTACATATTTTGTTATATTTATTATTGACATAACCCGAGTTGGATAGGGAGAAAGGAATTAGTTACGCGGACTACTAGTCCCATTGCGAGCAATATACCCTATCAGGACGACCTCCACGTGGTCCCTCCTGGAAATCATCGTGCTGAATTCTAGGTATATTCATCACGATGGGCTAATTGACTTGCCTTTCAATTCGCACCTATCATTGTTCACTGGTGCCCCGCCAGCGTACTCCATTAGCGCAGGTGAGGTCTACATTTCATTCATTTCATTGTCATCCATTAAAAAAGAAATATGAGACTAAGTGAATTAATCCGAGTTGGGTGGGGGGAAAGGGATTGTTAGTAATGAGGTCTAACTGACCAGCAATACACCCTATTCGGTCGCGGTTTCCGCTGGAAACCATCGTGGTTAATTCTAGTGGAATTCGCTTTTTTTTAGCTTTCACCTCACCTATCATCTCGCACTGGTGCCCCGCCAGCGTATACCGATAGCACAGGTGAGGAGACCATTCCATTATCGCCCATTAAAAAAAAAATCTAAGTTGGGTTTTTTATATAATGATTTATCTGCACAGAGTCAATAACTAAAGTCATTTAAAACGTGATAACTTTATCTATTTATGCATTTATTCTTTATTTATCTTTATTATTGCCATAACACTGTATTTTGTAATATGTAGTCATAATTTAAAATTAACTAATATCTAGTCATTCCTAAGTCTAACTGGTAGAAAAAGCAAATGAGTATAAAGTCCGCCTTCTGTACCGTATTTTCTTGTTCAATAAATTTCTTTTTTTTTATTTTGTCATAAACTATTGTTGCCCACTATGTTACTAACGTGCATGCAATACGCTATGTAATAAGAACTTATTTAGTTTCTATTTTTAATTTGAGACTTATTTTTTGTGTTGATATAAATCAGTCAGTCATCTTATCGTAATTTTTTTCTTCATAAGTTACTTGTATATATAGCTTTCTATAGGAGAAGAGAGAGAGGAAGAAGAGAAGAGAGGAAGAATTTTTGAAATCGGTTGAGTAGTTTTTGAATTTATTCATTATAAACAAACAATAAAGTTTTTATATATATTTTAGGAAAATATTATCAAATGAATATATTCATTAAAAAAGAAATTTCACCAAATTGTATTGTCTGTGGAAAAGTTGAAGATGTGCAGCACCTATTATTGATGGAATGTGGCACGGCAACCGAAGGGAAAAGGAAACATTTTAAAAAATATTTAAAATTAATAAATTGATGTGGGTATTGTTCAGAGCATAATGCATGCTCCAAACTGCCAAAATTACTTTGTGCTTAAGTGAATTAGTAAGTGGTATTGTTTAGTTAGAGTTATATTTACAGTAGTAGTTAACCTGCTTAGATATTGTGGGATTGACATGTTAAAAAACAAATTAAACGTAGATAAAAAAAAAACAAATTATATCTTTACTCTTTATAGTATTTTTAGAACAAGATTTAATACCTTCACGAATTTTACAGAAAACAGGGAGACACATGAAAAAATAAATAATTATATATGTACATATAAATGCATATATGACATTGTAAAACTTGTGGGACACTGGACTTTAAACTAGATCAAAGATCTGTAAAACAAGAGTCCAGGCCCTCAACTCAGGTACACTGTACAGTTTGATTTAGGTAAAAATAAAAAAAAAAATGAAATGACTACATAAAACAAAACAAAAAGTTCACGTATGTGAGTGTACGCTCTCGTGCGTTTGTGTGTGTTTTGTGTATATCGATTTATTAGTAAAATATAGACATAGAAATCGTGTAAATATAATGTTCCGGTTTAATATAATGGCAGTTGACATGTTAACCTTTAATGATACTCGTATGTAGGCACGGCGAGTACGTACGCACCAGTGCACGTTACGTAAAAGTGTTTTGTCTATGCCATATGATCTCGATACATAGTACGAAATACATTGATCGAACAAGACAGCTCTCTACTGTATTTAATAATCTATACTAATGTTGTAATGTACGGATAGACAGAGAGATGTCTGTCTGTATATTTACTTTGTCTGTAAAAAGTTAGTGGAATTTATTGCTTTGTCATTTATTGCTCATATTGTTGTAATGTTGTTGTACCAGCTGTTAACTGTCCACTGCTGAACATACCCCCCCCCCCCCACCTCCTATAAGAGGGGTTTTACCAGTAGTTGCCACGCTTGGCAGGCGGGTTGGCAACGACAAGCTTTGGTGATGTTTTAAGAGGGACGCTGCTGCCCATCCCTCCATCATAAGTTCGCTTGCTTGTGTAATGTAATTAGTGTGTTGTAAGTTTAAAACCGATTAAAGTAGGAAAGTAGTATGAAACCGCAGTACCAGTATAGAAATTATCGTATGCTATAGCCTATTATAGTATATAGTATACTTGGAACTCATTCACAAGAGAGTAAAGCATAGGATATTGAATGATTGTATGTCGTTGCAGCGGCGCTACATACTGATACACGGATCTTATAATTCCTTTGTCAAACTTCGTATCTCGTTTAGTTGTGACACGGAGAGTACATGTAGAACACCGCAGTAGCATGGCAAACATATCATCTGTAGGGGGGAAAGGGATTGTTAGCAATGGTCGACCTCCACGCTGTTCCCCCTGGAAACTATCATGAACAATTCTTATTCAATTCGTCACAATGGGCTAACTGATCCGCTTCATCCTCACCTATCATCCTTCACTGGTGCCCCGCCGGTGTATACCGATAGCGCGGGTGGGGTTACCATTCCATTATCACCCATTAAAAAAATGTCTTTATTTATATTAGATATAATTTAGACAAAGGATATTGTAGTACAGTTTTTTCAATAGAACTTATTGAAAATATAAACAAATGGTTAGTGGATACGACTATAAGACAGTCTGCTGATAGTTAATTATAAATGTCGGCGATAAAGAAGCAGGTATGTAGGTACTATTTACCTGCAAATTTTTCACCATGTTAAGTCCCGATAGTGTATTTAAAATAAGTCTACCGATGTCCAATAGTAGTACAAATCCAAAATAGATTATGACTGATTTAATTTAGAAAATGTTATTGTGATAATTGTAATAGAGTTTGGTAACGTTTTTATTAAACTTTATGTAACATATTAAATTCTGTCTTTTGTAGATACTTACTTCAAGCGAATAGTAAAAATGAAAGAATTTCAAATGAATTTTATTAATAATATATAAACAAAATTTTGCGAGAATGTATGGATGGATGTTTATTACTCCTTCACGCAAAAGTAACTGAATGGATTTGAATAAAATTTGGTATAAGAATAAGTCATGTCTTAACTACTAGTAAATAGAATATATACTGATTCACGTGTGGGCGAAACCGCGGGATACAACTAGTATTCAATTATGTTGGAATTAATTAAGAAGGCGAGGCGTATGTTCAGCAGTGGCTAAAAAGAAAGCATTTTCGTATTGATTTATTGTTTAAAAAAAAATTTTTGTAATTTTTGTAAACAATTAATACAGATATATAGATAGATAGATATATGGAGAATTTATTTACATTACTTACAGCACACAAATTACAATAAAAAAAAACATACATATAATACACAGAAAAAGAGATAAAAGAGAAAAAAAAAAAACAAAATATATAAACTAACAATCTCCTTTCTTTCCCTTCCTTCATGCGTGTACCATAGTAACACAAAATGGTCACAACTCAGTTTATTGCTTTGCCCTTAAAAGAGCAAAACACTGATATTCTATTGTGGCCAATAACAATACGAAAACTAAGTTTTTTTTTTCTCTGAACGTAATCGTGTTCTTTATCGGACAGTTGCTATACTGGCGTGATACCCTCAGGTCGGGGGTTATCAATAGTATTGCAGAAATAAGAGTGATTATTGGATATTTATATTCTGGAGTGCGTGTGTAAGTTCCAATGACCCTGCTGCAAGATTTATATTGCATTAAGTGGCACAATAGAGTACAGACTCAATTGTGCCTACAGAAGCAGTTAAGTGTTTGGACGGTGATATTTTTGTTTCTTATTTGTCATTAACTTTCTGCCCACTACTTCGTGGAATTCAGAAGTTAGTAATCAATAAAATAGCTTCCAGATGGCGTGCCAAGTAAGACTTTCAAGAATGCAACTGTGGAAATCGCATCCAATTTGGTGCAGCTGTTTTTGTGTGATATCGAAAAAATCATACGGACAGATAAACAGATAAAATTTCTAAAAATTTTTGTTTTTGCATTTGGTCTTATTTAGACATCTCATATTAATTTTTCTTAAATATCTTTTATATAGATATCGCTGTATTGTCTAGTTGTAATTTTATTACACCAGAAAGATAAGATCATCTTGAACTACATCTAAATTGCTCAGCTCATGGGTTCTTTGTAAAAATATTGCTCTATCTATAAATGTTTGTTCTTTTTTTAACTGAATGAAAATAAAACAACGGATCCGTCTATGCTCGCGTAGTACTTCGATGGACCTCCACCCGGTCTCCCTTGGAAATTATCGTGGTTAATGCCAGATGAGTTGATCACGATAACCCAATTAATTTGAGGGGAAAGGGATTGTTAGTAATGGAGACTGAGAATCCCGTTGTTAGCAATATACCCACCAATACAACCAGGTCGACCTCCTCGCGGTTCTCCCTGGAAACTATCATGGTTAATTCCTAATGAATTCATCATGATGGGCTAATTGGCCTGTTTTCATTCTCATCTACCACCCTTCACTGGTGCTCCGCCAGCGTATCCCGTTAGCACAGGCGGGGTTACCATACCATTTTCACCCATAAAAAAAAAACCCAATTAATCTAACTTCATTCTCACCTATCATCCCTTGGTTCTCCACCAGCGTATACTATAGTAAGTTTTTTTTAAACAAAGAATATATAGTAACTTGTTTTTATTGTAAAAAAAATATATTTTTTTTTTGTAAAAAATTTACTTCACGAACGGCACAAGAGATGGACAGGCCATAACCAATTCGTACGCAATTTTCTCTGTCTACACCGCAAGGTACTCGGCGAAATAATATGAATAAATACTTACCATCATCACAGGTACTAAAATTAGCGATATCTGCAGTGACCACCACTAAAACAGCAACGAACAACACTAGGGCGACTTTTCGCGACATTTTTTTTTATGAGACGTCTACCTCTGTCCGGTACTCTTTTTAGAATGCTATCCGATAGGTGCATGCACTGTCCAGTCGGTATCGGGACGGACATATTTCTTACAATTACTGATAACGTACAACAATTATCTAGTTAATTGCGTTTGCTATTTAGTTAAATAGTTGTTTATTCGCCTATTAATGTTAATGTTATTGATATTATTAAATTATTATTAAAAAAATTAAAATATCTACAAACTTTAATATAGCATAAAATATAAAGAACTAGCTGTTTCCCGTGGCATTGCCCGCGTGACTTCATTATATTATTGTTTTGTCATTATACATAGTAGTTTCAATTATTGTTTTTCTTTACGGCGAAAAATTTCATCTTTTTTTTTTATACAACTTAGAATGGCAAACAAGCTGACGGCCCACCTGATGGAAAGTGGTAACCGTCGCCTATAGACATGAGCAGTACCGTGAACATAACAGAGTATACTGTTTCGCCCATGATACCCCCCATGCGTTGCCATTCCTGAGGACTCAGGTGTTATTCCTCTGTACCCAGTAAATTCACGCCATATCCCACCCTTCAAACCGAAACACAGCCATGCAAAAACAAACACTAATGGGACAGAGGTACCCAAGCAATCGACTTTTGTACAAAGTCTCCCTCTGGTATTATTATTATTATTGATTGTCCACTGCTGAGCATAAGCCTTCCCCATAAGAGGAGTTTTGGCAGTAGTTGCCACGCTTGGCAGGCGGGTTGGCAACTGTAGTTAGGTTTTGGTGATGTTTTAAGAGGGACGCTGCTATCCATCCCTTCATCATTAAATTCATCTTGTTACTGAGCATTATTTTGTTTATAACTTTAAGCATTAATGTGAGTTACAACCGATATGAGTATTTTTTTTTATCAGATGAACTGTTATTTATTGGGGTGAGAAGGGATTGTTAGTAATGGGGATTAGTAGCCCTGTTGCTAGCAATATACCTTGTCAGGTTGACCTCCTCGTGGTTCCCCCTGGAAACCATCATGAACAATTTTTATTGAATTCGTCACGAGGAGCTAACTGACCTGCTTCATTCTCACCTATCATCTCTCACTGGTGTCCCGTCGGTGTATACCGATAGCGCGGGCGGGGTTACCATTCCATTATTATCCATTTAAAAAAAAAAAACTGTTATTTATTATTTGCAACAGTTTAAAAAAAAAAAAGGTTATTACAAGAAAAATAAAAGAAAAAAATTCCTTTAAAAAGTGTAAAATTTTATTAAATTTACAATAAAAAAAAAAACCCTAATTAAAGGGCATATAAAAATAGTTGAAATAAATCGAGCACGTTGTTTGGAATTCGTTGTACGTTTAAAATATATTTACATATTTAATTATTATAATTATTTACAATTAAATACATTGGATATTTTACACACGCCGAGTAATCTCTTTGGCATACCATTGCAGAGTGCGTAAAATTTACATGCAAATCTACGAGTAAATATACATTAAAATTAACGTACTGCGTAAATACGCCCTTAGAGTTATTGACCTAACTGAAATATAATAAAATGAGTTTAAATTACATAACGTAGTTCAGGAAAAAGAAGAGGTGTTTTATCTTTGTTATTATAAAACAAAAATTGTATATATTTTGACAACTCTGTTAATAGAGGCTTGAAAGAAAATGGCCGCAACTACAAGATGACGGATTAAAAATGTTTTTAAACAGACTTATTTCTTATTTAGATTGTGAAATCTGTAAATTTTTGAAGTCGGTATTTCACTTATACTCATTTCGTTAATTTTGAGTTAGATCGATATTTCACTAAGCTTTTTTTTATATATATTTGTAAATCTTAAAGATCGTAAACTTAAATCACTATAACCCTACCTACAATTTTTTTTTCGAAACTATGTTTAAGAAATTTATGATAATAATAGAGAGCCTTCTTAATTTTTTTTTTCAGAAACAATTCATGGGACCAAAAATAGAATTTTGTAGATTTGGCTTGAATTTGTAACTTTGTCAATAAACGACAATATTCCTCTATAAATTAATCTATACAGAATTATAATTTATTATTATTATTATTATGAGTATATATCATGACAAATACATCAGACTAAAATGCCTAATACAGATTGCATTTTTAATAATGACTTTTTAAACATTGTTGTGGATATTACGTCATCCGTTAATATTCTATTTGAGTATTTTTTTTTCTAAACCTATTCACTTTATTCAAGTTATTCGAGTTAAGAGGCAGACGAAAATGTAACAACGGTCATTGCTATTGCCGTAGTAGTTATTATTTTGCCTTTGTAGAACAACCAGTGATCCGACATTTTTGACATGTCCCGAATGACAACATAACAAGTCGGGACATATATTTTATATTGAATTTAAACAATATTCGGCTAGGAATTATTGTGTATAGGTTCTTATTTTTATTTTTATGATCTAGTTTCAATTAAGTATTGAAGACAATTAATGGTATGTATTTTACTATAGATATCTAATTATACTTTGACTTATGGTTAATTAATACTAAGACACTGTTATTCAACTAAACTGAAAGTACATATTTATAACTTTTATTTATATCTCAAATTAATAACTACAAATTAAAATTTTCTGAACTTTATTTTATCAGTCATTTATTTTTCATCACAGTTATTAAGATTTTTAATTGATTAATTAAATTGTATTTTTTTTTTATTGAAGGAAATAAATCTATTTAGAGGAATGCACGATTCGATTATTTATTTAAAGAACCTGGCTTTAGTTGTTGTCTATCTAAGTTCACACGTTACAATAAAATGCGTTCATCATCATCATATCAGGTGATATCTATTCACTACTGAACATAGGCCTCCCCATAGACTGCCATATGGAACGGTCCTGAGCCACCTGCACTGACTCCCTGCAATGTATTTGAGGTCGTCACTCCGTCTAATGAGGGGTAGTCCTACAATGTATTTGTTCTTACAGGCTTGCTACTCAAGAGCCTTTCTTTCCCATCGGTTGTTGGTTTATTCAAGTTATGTGATCAACCCATTGCCACTTCAACTTGCTCATCCCTTGGACTATGTCAGTTATTTTGGTTCCTTTGCGGATATCCTCATTTCGGATTTTGTCACGCAAAGAATGCGTTCATACGCGTATCAAAATCAGAACAGCGATGTGTGTGTCTAGAGCTTATAGGTTATATAATACTTGTGACATGATCCGAGTTCGCATGGGTTTTTTAAAAAGAAAATACAGTCCAAATTGCTGGCTGATAACGTAGCATTCTGTAGGTGAAAGAATTATTAAAATCGGTTTAGAATTTTTTGAGTTTTTCCATTACAAACAATAAGGTCAAATCTTTGCTCTTTATAATACATATTAGCTTAGATTATACCCCACACTAGACACTCTGATAGAGAAGATTTTACAATTAAATTCTCTTCTTCTTCTTCTTCTTTTTCTCATTCAAGAGTTTCCTCCTGTAGGGGCAATTAATTCAAATACAACTATACAATAGCCAAAGTGGTGGTGGTGTTGTGAGGATCGTCCCTCCGCAAGTCTTGATGTATGCCGGCCTCTTTCAATATCCTCATGCGAGGACCCAGGGGGACCCCAAGCGCCCGCAGCTTGTCTTCACCCACGTAGGGCAGTTCTGCGGCACCCACTTTCTCTTTCTCCAGTAGCGCTGCGTATTTCTGGAAATAAAAATTTTAATAAAATGGTAAATAAAATAATGCAAATGATGGTGGTAGTACCGTCTCTTATTTTTTTCTGGTGCTTAGAATGAATGGTGCTTAGAAACTGACAGTCTACTAGAAAAGTACACCGGTACGGTTACAACCGTCGTCAGTAGCCATCTCGTATTGGGGACCGATAGACAGCAGAGGTCGCCAGTTCGGGGGCCGCCCACATATTCATCTGTTGCAGTATCCGGCCGTAATACCTTCCTAATGCTCCTCAAATATTGCATCTAAACTGCGTCCACCATGTACCCTCTTGTATAGGCATTCCGTCATCCGTATCCAATAGCGAGGACGGGATGCCTTAAATACTGTACCGCAAACCATAAAAAAAAGAACAGTACCGTGAACACGAAAGAATGCACTTTGATGCCCATAGACTGCCTATGGACGATATCGAAATGGGTGATAACCTTTTATCCGCCATCACCAAAAGAACCCGTTCGAAGTTCTGTTATCGATCCGATATCTATATATTGTTGATATCGGATCGGTATCCATATTACCTATGCTTATTCCTAAGGACTACCTTATGCTGGGTACAGAGACCAGGTTATTTCGTTTCGAAATCTTAAATTATTACATTGTAAAAATAATTTATGGGAATATATAGAATGGATTATATAAATTAGGCTGCTCACCTCATAACCGAGTTTTTTCAAGAATAACCTCATGAGGGGCGGCTCGTCTCCAAAGAACTTGGTGAGCCGTTTGACCCGATCCGGGTTGCTGAACGAGTACGGGTCCGAGTGTCTGTGGTGACCCGAACGGATGTGCTGTTGGGATCTGTGTGGAGGACGATTACAATTAATACCATTTATATAATTGTATTATATGTATAAGGAAATGAATGTGTAGCTATGCCCTCCCAACGATCACAATTCCTCAGAACTGTGATGTTTTTTTTTTATAGCATTAAAGTGGCAATTTAGCATACGGCCATGTCGTTCCGCGAGGCCTTTGAAGATATCAAGAAGTTATGTAGTTCTGGGCAGTTCAAATTAGATGCTAAATGAATGAAATAAAAATCCAATTTACATTTCTTTTTTCGAATTAGACTTGTTTGTCTGGGTGGTAAGCTATTTGCTATAATAATAATAAAGAGTAAGTGTAAGACATCAACCCGATGGATTTGTTAAATCAGAGTTGCCACCGAACTGAATATTCAGTCAACAATTGTTTTGGCCCAAGTAAAACCTGAAGAGTATTCGTTGGGAGGAGAATTACTGGTCGTCGCGATCACGCCTCATCAGCCTTGAAGAATAGACTGAGAAAAATTACTGTATTAGTAATTACAGATAAATATACGCATGATATTCATCCACGAGGACGTCTTGAAAAGGGTGAATGAGAAAAGAATATTAATAAAAACAATAAAGAACAGAACATGAAGAATACAACATGAAGATTTTTTTGAAGAGCATAATAGAAGGAAAATTGAGAGGGCAAAAGGAGAAGAGGAAGCCCAAGGAATGGGACATGGGAAACACAGGAGGAATAAAGCTGGCCGGAAGAAAATGCACGAATAAGTTGCACCGACAAGAGGAAATCCAGGCATGGTTTAAGATGTGAGATGTGAGATGTGCGCTCACTTGTACATGTGGCGCAGCGCGGCGATCTCCGCGCGGATGTTGTCCATCTCCTGCATGACGAGGTGCTGCGTGCGCATCTCGCTGGACAGGTGCGCCACCGAGCGCGCCAGCGTCACCACGTGCGACTCCAGCCGCTGGAACCGCTTGTTGATGCCCTGCCGGACCACAACCACTAGCATCAGACACAGCTTTCATCCTCACCTCTCACCCCTCACTGGTGCCCCGCCAGTGTATACCGATAGCGCAGGCGGGGCTACAATTCCATTATTACCCATTAAAAAAATCCCTATCAGGTCGACCTCCACGTGGTTCCCCCTGGAAACCATCGTGAACAATTCTTGTTGAATTCGTCACGATGGGCTAATTGACCTGCTTCATCCTCATCTATCATCCCTCACTGGTGCCCCGCTGGTGTATACCGATAGCGCGGGTGGGGTTACCATTCCATTATCACCCATTAAAAAAAAACACCTTAGTCCTTAAGGATGGCAACGCATGGGGGGTGTCATGGCCGAAACAGTATACTGCACATGTCTATAGGCGACGATTACCACTTTCCATCAGATGGATCGTCAGCTTATTGGCCAATTGGGGTACTACTTTGTATATAAAAAAACTTTAGTTACTGCTACTTCTTTACACTTTGTTTTTTTTTTTATATATACGAAGAATATTAACTATTTATGAAGTTTTTTCCGCAATAGAAGGAGGTTCTAATTTCGCTTGCTTTTTTTGTATACTATGGAAATAATAGAGTATACTGTTTCGCCCATGGGTTCCCATTCCTGAGGACTCAGGTGTTATTCCTCTATACCCTGTAAATTCACTGCCATATCCCACCCTTTAAACCGAAACACAGCCATGCGAATACAACTGCTTCACGGTAGATAAACGAATGAGACAGAGGTGCCCAAGCAAACGATTTTTGTACAAAGTCTCTAACTGGTAATATCTTACCTTGAGATCGTGTTTCTTTCTGTGATCATTAGAGCTGCGTCTTTTGTCCCGGACCGGTCTGCTACTCACTGAGCTCGAGGGTAAGGACGACATGCTACCGTAGCGGCGCTTCGACGATAGCCTGAGTGGAAATAATATACAAATAAATATAGGCTAGTAGTTCAGAGTATGCCGTTATGGTATAAGTATAGAATGGACCATAACTTCCTTTCTCGTAAGTATCGTAAGAGACGACTAAGGGAACTTAATGGTTGAGGGATGCGGGAGGTTATATTAAGCAGTAGACAGTTAATGGATGATACAAAATACAACAAGAGAACAGTAAAAGTGGCTAGTTTTTAACTGACAGTCAATGGAGAATTTTACGGTGTAGAAACGAGTTGAATTTTTCGCAGGAATATTCCTGAATATCATTGTCTTATTGAGACAAGTACCTCAAAACAATTAGTCCAAACCAATATCGATTAAGTAACCACAAAAGTTCCGATTCCGAGTACTTTTACTAGACTAAAACGAGAAATTCTTCATCTTCTTCAGGCGCATCTCAATTAATGGAGGTTTACTATCAGTTACGCTGGTTTGTCTTTTTGATTGGAAATTCTAGTTTCATCTAGCTCCTAAGCCATGATTTTTTACATTCTTCGATGCGTCTCTTACTTTCTGTTTTGCCCATAATTATACAGAGAAATTACAGAGTACTCACCTCGATTCCCAAGTGGGCTGTTTCGCCAGACTAGCCGGCTTCCTTACGCCTAACAGTTGCAACACTTCAGCGTACATGTTCTCCAGCCCTCGGAGTTGCCTCCTGATAGCCCTCGCGTCCCCCGTGGACGCGTCGCTGTCCGTCCTGCCATCCAGGAGTGACGAGAGATCCAGGCTCCGTGTGGTTGTTGACGTCATGTCTGTTGTATCCAATCCGAATACTGAAAGTGTTTACAGTAATATTATTATTATTATTTTCAGCCGTTAACTGTCCATTGCTAAACACTGATATTGATGTTTACCCAAGTCGCAACAGTAACTATTAAATAATTTGTGATAATTTGTACAAAATGAAATAAGTGTCACATATACTAACAATGTTTCTTGTAATGACTGTCTCGTTTCGATGAATGTTTCTTGTGCGAGTGCCAGCGTGGTGAGTCTCGTCCGCGTCTTCTCTCCTCGGGATACTCCGACGCGCGGCCTGGAAGACTAAGACATTTGTTTTTTAAGATTAAAATCTAAAACAAAAATATTGTGAAAAGCGTAGTGATTAATAAAATATGACTCAAATATTTTTGTAATTGGGACATATTTGTTCAATTTATCATATGACCCAATTTTAGACTTTGAGTATTATATCGTTATAGTCGTAGAATACTGACGGATCTATATATGTAATATTTGTCAGATCCGTCAGTATTCTACGACTATGACGATATTTGTGAGGTTATGTAGCTAAATATATATATGACTTTGGACACTGTATAATTTAACTGGATAATGTAAAGTTCACGATTTATAATCAGATTCAGGTAGATCTCCATGCGGCTTTCTTTAGACATCGTCGTGATTAATTTCCGATGAATTCACTATAAATGGCTATTGTCTACAATTGATTTTGCACCCAAGATAAATACCAACTTTTTATTGTTCACTCCAAAAGTTGTAGTTGAATATATAGCAAAACAAAAAATTGAAAGAACTAAACTACATAGCTTCTAGGCAATCTTTGGATTATTATTCCATCCAAAAGTTGCCTAGAAGTATGGCTTTCAGGGATATGGTTGCTTAAATATCACTCTCTACCTATCATCCTTCACTGTTGCTCTGGGAGTGATTTAGGAGTTTATTTTGTTGGGGCAATCAAATGCTTTACAGGGAGTCAATGGATGCAGGTAGCTCAGAACCATTCCTTATGACAGTCTATGGGGGAGGCCTATGTTCAACAGTGGACGGCTAACGGCTGATATGATGATGAATCAAATCATGTATCTCTGTCCAATTGGCTTTATCCCAGGACTTCCTTATACGACATGACATCTATATTTTCTTTTATCATACGGATAATATGGATGGGTAATTAATATTCTGTTATTCCTCCTTCCATGTACCTATTTCGTTTGTGCATATCAGAAGAGGGAGACAATGGTGGCAGTGGCGGCGTCACTGAGCTATCGGAACTTCCCGAGGAGTCGAGCCTCATGCCCGCCAGCTTCGGTTCCAAGATCTGCCGCAGCTCACATTCTACTAAGTCTGCCCATTCGTTCTCGCCAGCTGAGGAAAAATAATATAAACGTTTCTTCAGTAAAATAGTGAGCAAAGATATTGTTTTAAAATTCCATGGGGTCTAAGCTTTGTCAATGGGAGGAGAGAAAAGGATTGTTAGTAATGGGATCTGAAAGTTCCATTACTAGCAATATACCCTATCAGATCAACCTCCACGTGGTTCCCCCTGCAAACCATTATGGTTCATTCTTGTTGAATTCATCACGATGGACTGACCTCCTTTTACCTTTACCTCCCCTATTATCATTCATTAGTACCCCCCCCCCCCCCCCCCCCCGTATATATCACGCGAGCGGAAATAAATTTCAATATAGACTCATTAAAAAAATAATTTGATTTTCCTTTCCTCCTAATACAGCACATCAAGTTAGTTGGTATTATCTTAATACGGGAAGTTTTGAATTTTATATTGTGTTGCTCCATGCTTTAAAACTATATATATGTAGATAAATTATCTGTAATTAATAATATATTATTATTAAATTATTAAAAAAAAATATTGGGAATGAAAACAATATAAAATTCATCATGATGAATGTTGTCATTCATCTTCTATACGTACTTGGTCCAGGAGGTTGTTGGCTAGTTCCTGGCTGCGGTTGCATCCTCGAAGGGCCGACCGCATCTGAATCAGCCGACGTGTCATGTAGACTAGCCTCTGGTCTTCTTCCGCTGGAGTACGCCACGCTACCACGTCCAGAGTCCACATTAGATGATTGCCCACCGTTTTTGTCGTAGTCTGGAAATAAACCATTGTCTAAACTATTAATCAGACTCTTTAAGCGAGCGTCTAATTTGTTCATGTTTCTAATGGCTGAAAATGGTAACCTCGCCTGCAATATTAATATAGGCTGACGGGGCACCAGTAAGAGATGATAAGAGAGGAAGAGAGCAGGTTAATTAGCCTATCATGACAAATGTCATAAAAAATAACCATGATGGTTTCCAGGGGGGACCGTGTGGAACTCGTGGGTGCATATTAATTCTAAAGCGATCTTAATATGCACTTTTAAAGTATTTTATTATGATTATATTTTTACTCAAATTTTTTTAATTCGGAATTGTAGCAAAAGTGATAGTTCGATATCAAGGAAATATTTTTATTTTTATATTAATTTTGGTGATATAAATGATAATTAATGTGTCTCTTAAATTACCATACCATAATATGACATTTTATAGCGATTTTATGGTAATCAACACCTGTTATTTGTATTAGAATAAATCACAACGTCGTTAATTGTTGTCTCTAATAAATTATATTTTGCGATACTCAATTTTAATTATTCTACATTTAGTATTATTAGATAATTAAATACGTGTATTTCAAAAGTAAAAAGTTGCCAACGGGCCTGCTTATTTGTGTGTCTAAACCAATAGCTCAAGTGAAGTTACCATCCCATCATAATCTTACAAAAAAAACACACACACGTAACACCCCTAGTGTTCCAGACAACAGTGACCTTTTACCATCAGATAGGCTGTATGCTTGTTTGCCATTTTTGTGGTATAAAAAAATAAATACCTGAACTGGCACCGGAACCAGCACCTTTCTTTCCATGAGCTTTTAAATCTTCTATCCTATTTGGAGTCTGTCTCGACGAAGATGGTTGAGGATTATAATTTTCAGCCTTAGCGTTAGAATTATATACACTATCAGCAGACTTTTGACTTGCACTCTCATCATTTCTCTCTGTGGCTTGACTTGAAACTATCGTTTCTTCTTTCTGTTTCTGTCCCATCGAGTCCGGTGTTCTTCGCTCTTTATGTATTTCGGGTGTTCTTCTATAAACATTTTCTTGAAGTCTTTCTTGTCTGTGAGATTCTATTGATCTTCCGCTAGTGCGGATTCGGTCTTCAAAACTGGATCTACCCTGTGCAACTAATCTCGTTCTAAATCCCCCATCGTCTGATTCTCTTTCATCACAAATATTTTTCGGTGAACAAGTCTCATTAGATGCTCCATCTAGAAGATTCCCATGAGAGTTTCTTCTAGATCGGTCGTGTATCTGTGGAGTGGTCACTTCAGTTCTTGGTTGAGGATCATCCAATAGATGCGGATGTGACGCTGCCCGTCTTCCTTCCACTAAACCTCTTTGTCTTATTATTTCTCTTTCTAATTGTTGTGGACTTCGGAGATCAGGTCGTGAATGTGAATTATCGAACTGTAATAATAAAAGATTTGAATTAAACGAATGACATTAATTACAAAAACTGGAAGTCGTAAAATAAAGTAATGATGGAGATAATAGATAAAGATAAATTTATAATTGAATTTTTCAATCTATTTAAAATCGGATGTGATTAACAAAGCTGATTTTATCGTAAAATTTGTATCTATTCAGACATTGAAGCATTAATTCATATTCGATGTCAATTAGCTAGATTAACATAACAGTAAATTAAAACGATATGCAATCTTTTATATGTAATTTCCTTTAGATATAGCGTAACATTGAACTTAATTTTTAATGTGTTTGTTTCACATAATAGAAGTTTAGTTAATTTGTATGTAAAATATGACTTATTTTAGGAAATTACGTCCTAAATAGATAGGTAGGTTCACTCCACTTTTATAAAAAAGGAATATGATAATTGATTAAAGTATACATATTGTTCCGATTTATTTCCAAATAGAAAAAAAAATGTGTTATTCAAATACTTTTGTAAAGTATCTGATAATATAGTATTTTAGAAAAATTGTGATAATTCATTCCACAATCCTTTGGAACACAATTCTTTCCACAATCTTCTAGAAGAAACTTTAGAATTAGAACTTTCTGTAAAATAAGTAGTAGATACTCTACGATACATCAGCATTTTCGTTGTTGAATAGTGATATATCCAAGTAATATATTCCTATATTTTTACATTACACAGTACGATTTAGATGAAGCTGGGGAATCAGAGAAAGTTATGTATAAAAACATTGATGAGAACCTCGCAAAACAGGGCAAAAGAACAAACAGTGGTATAAAACGACACTAATTCACGATTGATTTACTTCACGATAACAATGAACCAGTAAAGTATGTTTTATGGACGTAAAAATTATTCCATGAAAAATGGTGTTTCGTCGGCCTCAAAGCTTCTTGTTATTATAATTGCAGCACACGCCGTGGGAACACTTGCTTAATTGTTAAGAAGAATAGTTCTTTGTTTCTTCGGTTGATAGTGAGAACCGAATAGGAGGTCGTAAGAAAGGCGTTGCAGACTAGCATTGCGTTAGTTTTTGGTGTAATTCCAGAGTACGCGGATGTAATAATAATCGTTTGTGGTATACTCAGGTTTTTAATACTCAATTGCTTTGTAAAGTCTACAATTATACAAAGCTACTGCAATATATTACTGCAATAGCATTTAAAACTTAGTCTGTAATAATTAATTTTAAGTTTTGAATGGTTGCTTGTATTATATTTAAGTATTCTTACTTGCAAAGAACCTATCGTGAATTCTTATAATTCAATTCTTACAAGTATATTTCAGATTATATGAACTATCCTATTAATTTTGGAGAATAGACAACGAGCTTACATTTACATGCAAAAACAGTCATTAGCTATTAGCCCCAGTTTTGCACAGATAATATTGCGTTTTTAAGTTTACATTTTCAGAAATACTTTTTTAACAGAAGCTTACGTTATAAAATAAATCTAAATTCAAAATTCAGCTTTATGACTTAGTAATTTTGGCTATGCATTAATAGGCATTCAGGACAAACGAGTTTTCATAAGTAAAAATTTATATTTTGTATTAATAGGCATTTTTAATAAAATATGTAAGTGTATACATATATCTTTTTGTTTTATTAAATTTGATACTGTAAATAAGTTATTTCTATACATAAGTAAGAAGCGGTACCATTTAATAATTACTAAATTGTATTTGGAAAGAAGGTTTTTAAATTTAAACATATGCAAAGTTACCTCGTGTAATCGAAGTATCCACAAATCTTATCTAACCGTTCACATTTATATTCAATACACGAGTTGAATCAATTATCGAACTATTGTTACCTGAGTTTGCGGTCCAGTCTTTAACGAGGTGAAGTTAGCCATGGATCTAACGTCGATGTCTCTCTGGTATACCGCACTCCTTCTACCTGGAGGGCCATAGTGCTGGTACAGCGCATCGGCTCCAAGAGCTTGGGACTGGCGAGCAAGGGGTGTCGAGGCCAGCATTTCTTGCGATCTGGCCTGCTGGTTCAGAAGCATATGCTGTTGGGCTATTTGTTGCTGCATCAGTTGTCTGAGAAAGAGTTAAATCATTAATAACGGATTGAAATTTTCATTTATCATTTTTATTTACTTACCATTAGTCATGTATATTGAATTAAATTTGAAAAGCTGAAATTTGGCGTGTAGTATTAATAACGGAAATTATTTAACTATCTTAAGACTTGTATTATTAGATCGGAGCTTAGATACCAAAGCTTTAATAACGGAAACTGTTATCAAAGTTATTTTTAAACAATAAAAGCTTGTAATGGAACAATGATATAATCCGATAAAAACTAACATCTTATGGAGAGAATTCACCTTTTTATCGATAAATCAGCGATCAAAGTAATTGTTCTAAGATGATTTACTATCGCTTTGTGTTATTTTTGTATTGTGAGACATAGGAAGTCTCAAAGTAAAGAGTAATCAAGATGCTTCGATGATATAATAGTTTTAAGACCTGTTATCTACCTGTGTGGGGAGGGACTGGGATACGCCATATTATTATTGGGTATTCCATGGTTGTATTGCATATCCGGTCTGTTTTGCGGGATTGGTCGGCCGTATATACCTTGTTCCAATTTTCTATTACCGTTATCTCTAGGTGTAATCTGCTCAGGCTCAGGCCTCTTTCTCTCTTCACTATTATTTAATCCTGCCTCTTGTTCATTTCCTTTATCACTGTCGTGGCTTTCTTTACTCTTAAATCTACTAGATATCATATCTTTAAGAGTGTGATATGTTTTTCTTACAGATTTATTACTTTTCGGCGCATCTCTTGTGTTGTCTTTTCCAGTTTCGACTGTGACCGTTATGAGTTGTGAATTGTTTGGTGTATCAGGTTTTTGACCATAATTTTTGGCCGGGATCGGAGGTTTTGGTGAATCGTATTGTCCTTGAACATTTCTGGATATGGCGCCTTGGTTTTGATTTTGATGCATTGCGTAGCTATAATTCTCGTGGTATTGTCTATAGTTGTCACCAGATGTCCCAGCTTGCTGGTTCTGGAAAGTAATAAACAGTATTATAGTTTTATTGTGCGGTGGGAATTGAAGAAACAATGGGCTATTGGAATTTATACCAGCAAGTTTCAAGTTATGTGTAGCTGTAAATAGTGTTGTTTGTGCATAAATCAGTATGTGAAAGACGTATTGTTTAAGGGGAAAACTATAAGTCATTAGGGTCTTCAAAATAGACTTGTATTTTATTTAGAGCAGAAATAGTTTTACATATAATTTGTATTAAAACTACTTTTAAATAAGTTTTTAAGACTTAATACAAGTTTTTATTTATTTATTAGATCTAGTATAAGATTTTTTTTTATATTGTTTCCCATGATAATATTGTAATAGGAGCATTTAATATAAAATAATACCATAATAAAATAATTTAATTATTCATATAATATGGGGCCCATGAATGTCGCAGTGTATTTGATGTTTTCCATAGTAACTGTCAAGTCATCAGCTTATCATCCAATTCATTGTCGTATATTTTTTTCCACTTAATTTATAATTAAAAAAATCTTAATATACCAACATTTTCTAAAGCAAACTCGACCATGTCTCACAAAATTATATATTAAATACACTAAAACTAAAAATCACTGACACGTAATTTTTAAGTTAACACCAAACACGTCCATATCACGGGTTACTATAAATAGACTACTCGTACCTATAGTCGGGAGGTAGTGAGTCGGTCGTTGTGACCGGATGCGCGCGCGCATCAGCGCATGTGGGATCCAGCGGTTGCCGCACGATTGTTCGTTGCGGTACACGCTATTTACGTCGAATACCACTTAATTTAGACTTAAACATGTAACATGTAAACCCCGTGTGATTGTTTTCCTACTATAGAATTTATTATATATATACTGTTATATAATAAATTCTATACTTATTATATACTATAGAATATAGATTTTTTTTTATGGGTGAAAATGGAATGGTAACCCCGCCTGCGCTAAGCGGATACGCTGGCGGAGCACCAGTGAAGGGTGATAGATAAGAATGAAAACAGGCCAGTTAGCCCATCATGATGAATTCGTCAGGAATTAACCATGATAGTTTCCAGGGGGAACCGCGAGGAGGTCGACCTGGTTGGGTATATTGATAGCAATGGGATTCTCAGTCTCCATCACTAGCAATCCCTTTCCCCCCTGTAGAACACATTATAAAAAATATATATATTAATAGGTTTATACTAACATAAACCTGTTTTTATTATAATTGTATTATAATGTAGTTGTCTATAGCTATAAGTAAATTATATAATTAAACAACTAAAACGCAGTTTCTTGCATTACAAAACATTTCTCTTATATACCCTTATATGTAAGATTGCCCAATACAGAATTTTCCCTAATCAATTCGATTCGATCCGTTTCATCAAACCGAATAGTTTGACTTTCGCTGGTATGTAATAATCGAATCGTGTACGTCGTTTTTTGTTGTATCATGGTAACATCGTTTTATCATGGTAATTTTGTATAGTTCACTATAGATAATTAAAGAACTAAACGAACCTCATAAGTTCCAATAGGTAAACGAGTTATTTATGAATTACCAATCAAATTTCGTACGGCTCTTTTGTTTTATTAAGCGTGACAAAGAAACAATTAAATCGGCAGTTACGTAAGCAATACCTTTAAGATTACATTGGAATATTTCAGTATAATTTATAGATAGACATTGCAATCACTATTATGTTTGTAATATTGGAAAATCTGGTTTTGCTTTGATTCTAAAAATACATCATATTTATGTAACGAACATGATAGAACTTTTGTATTTTGTTATATTTTTTCTATTACATGTTTTACTGACTAGAACGAATGCGGAATATTTGTTTACAGACAGTTTTTGCTACGTAAGAAAAAAATACTTTAATTGTTGGAATGTAAATATGGGATCAATACGAAAGTAAAAATATAGATTACAAAAATAATCATAAAACTCGGTTTAAAATTTGCTACGTATGTTCTGTTTCAATAAAACCTAATGAAAATATAAACAGTAAATGAATAATTGATTCGACCACAAATAAAAATTAAATAACTGATATTGTTGAATGTTTTAATTTCTTACTGATTTCATTTAGATAATGTTCCTGTGTGAATTTTAACAAAATTTGGTTACCATTTCGTAAGTAATATTGGAAGAGACTATGAATTTGTTGCCAATATAGATACTTTCTTTTTAAATATACGATTCGTCGCAGCAAGGCCGCACAGCGTCGTCGTGAGCACCGTTGGTTTCCACGTACCGCAATAACTACGGCTTAGAGGTCGCACCATGAATTTATATCGGATTTTATGGGGTACTATCGCCCTGTACTCATTATATACACGGTAATTATATTATTTGTTAGCTGGAGCTAGTTTATAACGGATTAGAAAGATCTCTTAATAGGTGAAAATAGAATGATAACTGCGCGCGCGCTAAAGGTATACACCGGCGGAGCACCAGTGAGGGATGATAGGTGATGACGAAGCAGGTCAGTTGGCCTATTGTGACGAATTCAACAATAATTCAATCACAATGGTTTCCAGGGGGAATCGAGTAGAAGTCTACCGAATAGGGTATGTTGCTAGCAATGGGATTGCTAATCTTCATTACTAACAATCCCTCCCCCCCTCTCCCGGATTAGAAAGGTGTGATCATACGAATAGGGGCTATAGGACCAATATTATTGATTTCTTATGGTATATCAGTCTAAAATTGACGAGCAATCACAGCTCAGCTGGACGTTTGAAGCAGTCCGGAGATTCTAAGATCAAATCTCAGTCGAATCTGAACCAGAAGTTTTTTCAGCCTAACCTTTGAAAAAAAAAACATTTTAAGTTCACATTTTTTTTAGATCACTTGAAATGATCGTCACTTGCTTCTTGCTTCGGAGTACAAGTAAATAATGACGATAAGCCATCGTGTTGAATTCCAAGTATTGTGCATGCCTTTTCATCCTCACCTATCACGAAGTACTCCGTCAATATTAGAGGCGGGGTTATCATTCCATTATCATCATTAAAAAAAAAAAAAAGTACAAGTAAATTGACGCCAGAGGAGACTTTGTACAATAGTTGTTCGCTTAGGTACCTCTGTCCCAATCGTGAAGCGGTTGTGTTTGCATGGCTATGTCAGTTTGAAGGGTGGGATATGGCATTGAATTTACAGGGTACAGATGACCAACTGAGTCCTCAGGAATGGCAACGCATGGAGGGTTTCATGGGCAAAACAGTTTACCTTGTTATGTTCATGGTACTGCTCATGTTATAGGCGACGGTTACCACTTTCTATTAGGTGGGCCGTCAGTTTGTTTGTCATTCATTAGTCATTCCATTATCATGCATTAAAAGAAAATGTAATAATAATCTATATACGTGCAATCAATTATTTGAATTTGAATTTGGATGGTTGTTGAACATTTGATATTTTTTTGGTTATTCTGGCTCGTGTCTCCAGATCTTCGTTGATTGACTTTTCATAGCACGGAAATATTTTGGTTTGAGGACCAAGTTCTTGTAATTGTGTGACATTTATTATTATTACCTAATCTATACTAATACCATAAAGAGGAAAGATTTGATTGTTCGTTTATAATAAACAAATTAAAAAAAAAAACTACTTACCAGATTTTAAAAATTCTTTCACCTATAAAAAGCTCCATTATCAATGAATTTTGCTATATATTTTCGAAAATACTCTTGACTCGTATGAACACGAAGTCGATTGCTGGTTTATAATATCAGTCGGTTATTAAATCAATGGTATGTGTATGCACCTTAGATCACGGGGGTTCTCTAGCGTGACGTGATAATGGAATAACGAGCTCGCCTCAAAAACTACGGTGTCTTTGCCCTTTACGTTGTAAAGTAATACTAAAAATCGGAGTTAAGCGCCGCGCGTCATGCAATGGTGCTCAATTGTGAATTTATGTTTTTAAGAGACTTTCAAATAAAGATACACTGTATAAGACATATTAACATGTGAATGTGAAAGTCAGTTTGTTTGCCTTTATTTATTTACCAGAGGGAGACTTTGTACAAAAGTCGATTGCTTGGGTACCTCTGTCCCATTAGTGTTTGTTTTTGCATGGCTGTGTTTCGGTTTGAAGGGTGGGATATGGCGTGAATTTACTGGGTACAGAGGAATAACACCTGAGTTCTCAGGAGTGGCAGTGCATGCGGGGTATCATGGGCGAAACAGTATACTCTGTTATGTCCATGGTACTGCTCATGTCTATAGGCGACGGTTACCACTTTCAGATGGATCAGATGGGCCGTCAGCTTGTTTGTCATTCTAAGTTGTATAAAACAAAAATATTTATTCAAACATTATTGACAAATAAAATGTGGTACAAAAGACGGTCTTAATTTTGGACTTAAAACAGGCTGTGTCTAGCATGTACAGAGATACTTATTAGCTTTACAAATCGTTATAAACAATGATATGAAAGTACATGTATTATTTCGAATGGTGATGGACTTACTGTACGATCTCAGATAATCGATAAATTCCAAACGGCGAAGTCGCTGGCAAAATTTTGTAGTTTTATATTTTTTAAACGACTTGAAAGTAATAAAAGTAAAAATGTATTTATTAACAAAGTATGATTGTATATTACTTTACCTCTCATTTTCCTTTGTCCTTCTCTTTTGTTGTATGTGCGGTATTAAGTATGTATATATATATATATATATATATATATATACTTCGCCGTTTGGAATTTATCGATTATCTGAGATCGTACAGTAAGTCCATCACCATTCGAAATAATACATGTACTTTCATATCATTGTTTATAACGATATATATATATATATATATATATATATATATATATATATATATATATATATATATATATATATACTAGCTGACCCCGTAAACGTTGTTATACCACTTATTGCGAAATATAAAAATCACGATTAAAATACAGGGGTTGATTGTAAAACGAGTGCTGTTTGAAGAATAAGACGGAAGGACTTTCTTACTCTCTTCTTCACTTTATTATTAAGAGTTTAAATTCACTTAAATATGTGAAAATTTGATGTTGTATGTATTTTTCAATGTTAATTTATAATAAAATAAAAATAATTGTCAAAGAAATTAAAAATATATATTTTGGGGTGGGTCACCCTTATCATTGACGGGTATGAAAAATAGATGTTGGCCGATTCTCAGACCTACCCAATATGCACACAAAATTTCATAAATATCGGTAAAGCCGTTTCAGAGGAGAATTTTATATATATGTATATAAGGCCGCACCTTGCATCAATTCTCATTAATGTTTACTGTATTTTTTTACTTGGTACAACAAAGTGTAAAATAAAATAAATACTAAATGCCCTCTCAACTCGTTCGTATTTAGTTCGTATATATGTAAAGCGATATCTTCATCAATTCTAAACAGACTTCGATACCTGATTAATTTTGTAATCAATAGTGTTTACTCCCATATTAATTTTGTATCGATCGAAGCTGCTGCTTTTTGTGGAGCAAAATCCTGTTTGTTGTGAAGGCGAACTTACTTGGGGACAAACCATTCCGTGTTTTAAATGAAAACATTTTAAATGCTCTGTATCACGCCTCCGGCCACGTGACGGGAATAATAATTAGTCTATGTTAATTAATTTAAGTATAAAATAGTAAATTTTGTGACGATTGGGTTAATCAATTGGGCGTAATAATATTTCTTAAGGGTCGACAAAGTCCGCGTGGCATTCTTGGTTTTACAGTTTGTATATCAGTCGAGCCGTATGTTTGTTTGCCATCATAACAGCAATAAAAAAACCATTAAAGTAACAAAATGTAACAAACATACTCAGCTATATCTATACCAATATTATGAAGACAAAAGATTTGTTTTTAATGAATATACTCAAAAACTACTCGACCAATTGTAAAAAAAAAATTTCACTTGTAAACAACTATATTATTTGCGAGTAACATAAGCTATATATTGTACTATTTTCGAAAACTATGTACCCGGGTGAAACCTGGCTAGATTATTAGTTAATACCTTCATCAACAAACCTTCAGTGTAGTGTCGTATAAATGCAAATATTTGCACTATTTATTTATTTACGTGTCTAAGTGTAGGTATCTAGAGAGATCTTAATGAATATTCTATTAACTTGATTTCAAATTAGGAAATACATCAGACATTACCTCTGCGTGGGTCCAGGCAGACAGCGCTTTAGGGGGAGTGTCCGGGGCCACAGCTCCTAGTCTACCACGCTTCCTGGCTTCTTGCAGTATTGGCACTTTGGAGTTCTTGTCGCCTGATGACAGTATTACTTCTCGTTCTATCTGTTGAAAAAAGGAAAACATCATGTTTTATACTATAGCATATTTAAGGATATTCACCAGTCGGAAACTGCATAAAATTCGTATGTTTGGCTAACTCAGTCCCATTTGGGGAGAAAGGGGGGAAAGAGATTGTTAGTAATGAGGTCAAAATAGCCCTATTACTAGCAATATACCCTGTCAGGTCGACCTCCACGTGGTTCCCCCTGGAAACCATCGTGACTAATTCTAGTTTAATTCGTTAGGATGTGCTAACTAAACTACTTTCATCTTCATCTGTCATCCCTCACTGGTGGGCACCAGTGCCAATGTATACCAATAACGCAGACGAGGTTACCATACCATTATCACCCATTAAAAAAAAACTCAGTCCCATTCGTGTTTCTGCTATGAGGTAGCTGTACATGCATGGTTATGTTACGGTTTGAAGGGTGCAATATGGCATTGTAATTATAGGATACGAGACATAACACCATAATCCTCTAGAATGGAAACGTAGGTATGAAGGGTATTAAATATATTCTGTAAAGTTCATGGTACTATTTATGTTTATAGGCGACAGTTACCGCTTTTCATGAGATGGATCGTCAACGTATTTGGCATTATACGTTACACAGTAAAAATATGGCGACGGAGTAAAAATACCACTACTTTATGTCTTCCCCAGGATATTGTAAGAAGTAACTATAGGTACTCTACAAAGCATGATATACTGGTGAGTTACCTCACCAAAGGTAAAATATATAAGTCCAACTAACGCGCTTTACATAAAATAATTTTCATGCAATTGCGATATATATATATATATATATATATATATGTGTGTGTGTGTGTGTGTGTGTGTGTGTGTGTGTGTGTGTGTGTGTGTGTGTGTGTGTGTGTATCATATAGATATAGATGAAAAACTATTCAGATATAAAGTAAAAATCCGCATCAGACATATATGCGCGCTAAACAGCGTTAATAACAAATAAAAAAACTTAATTGAAAACCTCCTTCTATTTGAAGTCGGTTAAAAATATTAGGTCAAGAGATAGATTTAGAGACTATTTATAAAACAAAAATTTTGAACATCAATACACGACAAATAATATATAATTTGCTGGAAGAGAACTCTTACAGAGTTAAGCTCTCCATTTAATATAAATGTAATTAATATATGTGTACAATAAAGTATAAATAAATAAATAGAAATAAATAAAAATTTGTTTTGCTCCGTTTTACCTTAATATTTTGAAGCGTCGAAGACTTAAAATTAATTACAAAATTATTATCAAAAAACATAAAAAAATATCACATTGAACATAACGAAAAACTTTTTCTTACAATCACTTGGTTACACTTAATTTATTTAATTTTAACTTTAAATATTTAAATTTGTTTTATTAATATTTCTTTATACAATTATTTAATATAATGTATCACGTAATGGAATCGTAGACAGATGGTTTAACTACTACACAGTACAAGCAGTCTTATAACAATGAACACTTTCTCCACAGCATCTCACATCGATAGATAATTGCTGTACATCTATAAAACAAACTCACTAGTACACGTAGAAATCGCGGATATTGGCGTGCAATGGAAAAAAAAAACAAAACTTGTTACAATATTACTAGTGTTTTCCCGTGGCGTTGTCCGCATGACCGTAATATGTTAATTGATCGAGATAAATGCTCTGTAACCTTCTTTATCCCAATTAGTATGTGTATAATAAATTTTATAATGTTACCAACTTTGTGAAGGGATAGTTAGTAATGAGATGGTTTGTTAGTAGTTTTGTTTCTTTATACTATTTAGAATGGCAAACAAGCTGACGACTCTGTACCCTGTAAATTCACTGCCATATCTCACCCTACAAAGTTTACACAGCCATTCAAACACTTTACGGTAGGAACATGAATGAGCCAGGTGCCCAAGCAAACGACTTTAATATATTTATATATGTATATACATACACATATATATATATATATATATATATATATATATATATATATATATTATAAGTATATCCTTTTTATATATTTTTATATATAAATTATTGAAAGTATATAATAATTATTATTATAACTAATATAACTAGAATAATTTTCTGTTTTATGCGCATGTCTTCACTAAGTACTTCATAATAGAGAACGATGTCATTCTAACTTGCTGTTTTCGTAAAACTGGCTTACTAATTTAATTTATATTTGTACATCACTGTGTCTTTCTGTTTTTATCTGAAAGGATATACTTATACTATATATATATACTTTCAGACAAAAACAGAAATTTCCAAATCGGTTTACAATTAACGGAGTTAAGTTAAAGATAAACATTAAAAAAAAACTCTCACCTAAATTAAGAACCTCCATCTTTTTGAAGTCGGTTGATGACAGTACATTTTTACTTAAAAAGATAAAGTTTCTGAAGTGACTAGCAATCTACTTATGTTCCTTCCATCTACCTATATTGAAGCATGCGACAGTGTCATTAACCTATACGGTAGCAAAGCCTGTTTGTCACTGTACTCAGTCAACTAGCTTTAATATCTCGATACATAACTGCAGATTATAATTCATACAAATTTATTAAAATAAAAAAGTATATTGTATAAAAATATTATATTATATTATATTTCGTGTGACTAAAAAAAAATGAGCAGTGCAGTTCTTTTTTTGGCATATTGGAATCTAGCGCTTTATTAATGTTTTTGACGACTTCCTTGGCATAGCGTTACGTGCTTTGCTTTGCGTAATGATGGCCAGGGTTCGATTCTCCGTCGGGCTAAATTAGAAAATTCACTTTTCTAAATTATTTATTCATTTATTAGACACATAAAACAGATTATAACCAAATTGCCCCGGATCTGGGTGTTCAGGTGTTGACCCCAGATGTACTTTACCTTGTTTCGCATAACAGGGCATTCTAATTTGAGGATCAAGCGATGGGTGTAATTGTGTAGCACTTATTTCATCCTTACTTCATCCCACAGGTTGACTGGTATAGGAGTATGTTACTAGGATTAAACCCGTCTTTTATAGCACAGTTTCTTTTCGTAAATAAATTTATTAAAATAAATAAGTAAAAATTATTAGATTTTACCCACGCGGCTGTGTCTGCGCAATCGGGATATATTCACTGACCGGGATAAGAAGCAGCCTATATCCTTCTTCATCCCATATAGTACGTGTATACCAAATTTCATAGTAATTGGTTAAGTCCTTAGAGCGTTACAAAGTAACAAACAAATAAATAATAAGAGTATCATGGGCGAAACAGTATACTCTGTTATGTCCATGGTACTGCTCATGTCTATAGGCGACGGTTACCACTTTTCATCAGGTGAGCCGTCAGCTTGTTTGCCATTCTAAGTTGCATAAAAAAATCAATACAGTATGACTCACGATAGTTCTTACTCAAGAATACAGTAATCCTCCGTTAAAATACAGTAATCCTCCGTTAGAATACAATAATCCTCCGTCGTTTTTGTGACGAGTCGTCTGCATCATGCTATCACATAACGGACTGAGTAGTTATTGTACGGTCAGTAACATAAGTCAATACAATCGATTACCCGTTAACTATTCTATGATAGCTAACTTTTTTATGCAACTTAGAATGGCAAACAAGCTGACGGCCCACCTGATGGAAAGTGCACTGTAAATTCACCGCCAATTCATATCTTTCTTATACGTACATTATAAATATGAAAGTGTGTTTGTTTGTTTGTTATTTCTTGGCACCGTAACGGCTTGTAAATATGGTATATACTTATTAAAGAGAATGGAAAAGCACATAGCGTATTTTTTATTGAAATGAATTAACATATCCTGGTCATTAAAAAGGACTAGTTTATTTTATTTAGGACAAATAGGCGAACGTTGCACCTGATGGTAAGAAGAGGTAAGCTTCATGGATACCGTAGAAGCTATTATAATGCCCTAAATAATAAAGGGCACCAACCCTTCATAGGTTGTTATTCCTAAGGTCTTTCTTTAATAATGTATTAAAATAATTTGACACTTATTTAAATTAAAAAAAATGTATTTTTTACTAGCTAGTTCCCGCGATTTCGCTTGCGTCAATCAGTATATATAGTAGTAAAGTAATTTTGCGTCAGGACACAATCTATCCGTGCAACAATTTTCATTTAAATCCGTTCAGTAGTTTTTGCGTGAAAGAGTAAAGAACTTTTATCTATATAAACATTCAAACAAATTTTTTAGTGTATATAGTACAAGGTTTTACACGCGACTTTGTCTGCGTTATCGGAATATATTCACTGAATGGGATCTAAAGCTAACTAGTCAACCTATATTCTTCTTTATTATATATTGAAAAACAATAAATATATTTTAAAAAGCAACAGCTTACTATTTATAGCTTAAGCTAACAACAATTTATTCATATAAAAAAAGCTAATAACAAGTTTTCACTGCAATAAAAAAGGTTAGCTAGCTAGCCTATAAGGTTGTAGGCTATAATAGCCTATTATAGCCTTCACAACATGTAATGTATACTAAATTTCACAGCGATTGGTTCAGCCGTTAAAACGATAAGAAGTGACAAACAAACAAACTCACATTTATAAGATTAGCAAGGATCTAGCAGGATATAGAATCCAGTTTCAGTCTCCTGTCTGAACGCACTGTATTAAATATTCATAAGGCATAACTAAATTCATGAACACCAGAGCCTCTCTATCGCATCTCAATGTGTACTTGTATACCATAATACGTGGGCACCGATTGCTAAAATTTTTTATAGACATAAAAAAGTACTTGTCGATCTGTTTTTTTTGTATAATCTATTTTTATGTACGCTACCATATGTCCGGTATTTTTTAATGGGTGAGAAAGAAATGGTAACCCCGCCTGCGCTATGGGTATACACTGGCAGAGTACCTACCAGTGAGAGATGATAGGTGAAGATGTAAGCAGGTCAGTTAGCCCATCGTGATTAATTCAAGAGGACCGCTGACTCGTCTTCATTCTCATTTACCACATATTCTAATTAATATGGTAATTAATGCTTCTTTCGACTCAGTGTTTGCTGGAAGAGAACTTTTCCAGAGTTAAGCTCGCCTGTTGTACATCTTCATTTAATATAGACTTTAACTATGTAATTTTTGTTTACAATAAAGTATAAATAAATAAATACATATGGCGGTACCCGAGGGAGACTGTACAAAAGTCGTTTGCTTGGGTACCTCTGTATCATTCGTGTTTCTATTGTGAAGCAGTTGTTTTTGCATGGCTGTGTTTCGGTTTGAAGGGTGGGATATGGCAGTGAATTTACAGGGTACAGTGGAATAATACCTGTGTCCTTAGGAATGGCAACGCAACGGGCGTATCATGGGCGAAACGTTATACTCTGTTATGCCCATGGTACTGCTCATGTCTATAGGTGACGGTTACCACTTTCCATCAGGTGGTCCGTTAGCTTGTTTGCCATTCTAAGTTGCATAAAAAAAGGTATCTAGGTAGCGTATATCATAAGCATGGCGGAGTTGCAATTGTAATTGAAATATAATTAAAAAAATTATTTCACATTCAGCCATTAAATTAAAAATCCAACATAGAATGTGTACCGCCGTTCTCAGACTAATTATTTATTATTATAATAAAAAGGTGGACTCACAGGAAACTTGGCGGAGTGTGTGTGGAGCGCGGCGGGGGCGGACGGCGCCGGGGCGCCGGGCAGGGCTGCCTCCGGCGCTGGTGGCATCCTGTACGGGGGCACGCCTTCGACAGTGCCTGCGGAGAGAGAGAACGATAGTTACATATATATGTTTTATTATTATGTCTTCTTATTTAACGTACAAAAAAATTAAATAAAGATTTTCTAATATTTGTTTATTAAAGAAACAAAAATTAAATGACAAAAAATTCATACTTCACGCTAGAACTTATGGTCGCGTACAGTGCGGTTTCCAAAGAGTTTTTTTCCGCGAACGCTCAGGCTGTGAAACTCAGATTAAGCTCTCTGCCGAGCGTTTCCAGGTTTATTTAACGCGCGAGTGACACCCCTAGCACAGCTCCTAATGTTGCAGGCATTTATACGAGTAGGTTGCAGTGATCATTTACCATCAGACGGCTTCTATGCCTGTTTGCCAAATTCGTGGTATAAAAAAAAAGTTTTTTTTTGGCAATTTTCGACTTTATTGACGTAAATAAGTAACAAAAAATATTCGGTTTGGATAACTGATATTAACTTTGAAAGATTATATACACTTTAATAGTTAACTTAACAGAGGGAGACTTTGTACAAAAGTCGATTGCTTGGGTACCTCTGTCCCATTCGTGTTTCAACCGTGAAGCAGTTGTATTTGCATAGCTGTGTTTCGGTTTGAAGGGTGGGATATGGCATGAATTTACTGGGTACAGAGGAATAACACCCGAGTCCTCAGGAATGGCAACGCATGGGGGGTATCATGGGCGAAACAGTATACTCTGTTATGTCCATGGTCCTGCTCATGTCTATAGGCGACGGTTACCGCTTTCCATCAGGTGGGCCGTCAGCTTGTTTGCCATTCTAAGTCGTATAAAAAAAAAATAGATAAAGAAAATTATATAGACAGGACATGCTTTTAAATCACGGATTACTGTATTAAAATTAACATATCTAACCAGAATATCAAGTGAGTGTAACAGCTTAGTTCAAGTATAACATTATGTTATTCGTGGCTAAGTAAGGGTTAAGTATGGAAAGCATTAAAGCGTACAAGCGGAGTAGTTTACCCACAGTTACCACTGGGTGCTGTTCACACACATAATTATACGGATAATGTCGTAACTGGCTACCTCTCATACACGTACGGTGGTACAAACTCATAAGAGTTAGCGGAAAGTGTAATTATTTTATTTACGTAAATAATTTTATTGACTAAAAAAAAATATGGCACGAAATTCGGACTTAATGCGTTTAGAATGAACAGTGAATCACGAACGCAGTATTTTATTATTGGGATAGGTAAAAAAAAATTACTAGTAATGTATACCTATATAGAGTAAATAATACATACATTAATATAAAGGAATATACATACGTATATATATACAACAAGATAGATATAAAAAATAATTTATAAAAGATGATGACTAGCTACTAACGTTGTAATGAGTTCATAAAGTGAGCATGGACTTTTATTTTGAGCTTTTTCGGACTACTTTTACGTTTAGATGATTTCGAACAGGCGAAGTTTTTGGGGATACAAATACGATACATACAAACTCTCGTGGACATTATATTAGATAAATGAGATAAGAGAAGAAAACTGTGTTATTATATTACATTTATATGTAATATATATATATGTACGTATTTTGTTTACATTTATAACATTATTCGGTATGATAATTATTATTATATTATGTCAATTTATATTTAATAGGTAAATTTGTTTTCTTGTGTAATGTATACTCGCCGCCATTGCCTTCAAATACTTTCTATTTTCAGTTTTGTTTATTAAACTTATTATTTGTAAGAATTATTTGTAATATAAATAGAAGATTCCTTTTTTTTATTAATCGAACGCACGCCGGGTTAAAAAGAAACAACGTGTCGCCTTTTTCTAATACGCATAAACTTATGATTTAGACTATACGAAAAATGCGAAGGTATTTGCTCATTTCCTGTAACATTCTACTACAATATTAATAAATTTATCTGATATGTTTTCTTATTGCTGTTGCAATAAGGTTTAAAATAAAACGTTGAAGCTTCTAGTTCTTTTATAGTAATTTTCAAAACGTTTCAATTACGTAGCAAATTACTGAATCCGTTGTTTAAATTGCCTTTTAAACGAGTTTAAATTATTTATTTTTGAAATATACTTAACTAAATTAAGTATATTCCAAAAATATATCTACATTAATATTATAAAGAGGAAAGATTTGTATTTTTGTATGTATGTTTCTAATGAATAGACTCAAAAACTACTTTGCCGATTTCAAAAATTCTTTCACCATTAGAAAGCTACATTCACCCTGAGTAACATAGGCTATATTATTGCTAGAAAAGATTAGGGATCCTTACTAAAACATTAGTAATGTAACTCGAGGTGTAAAAAAATGCTATAAAATATCTTTCGTCGCGTGCGCTGCGGAAACTATTGGTGATAGAACAAAAGTATGTTCTACAATATTGAAGAAAATATCAATAACTACAAAAACTTCACGATACTGTACTGCACTTGAAGGCAGTTTTCACCCTTCTTTGCATGATTTTTTATATTGGTAAAATAAATCGAGGTGATAAAATTTATGTTCAAAATTAAAGGAAAAATAGTTAAAAAAATAATAATAAATAATAAAATATATGTCCAACTATTATATTGCGAAGCAACATAATAGTTGGACATATACCATTCGCAAAGAAGGGTTAAAAGTATATTTTTACATTGAAACATAATCTAGTTTGTACGTTTTTTTCACTATATATATATATATATATATATATATATATATATATATATATATATATATATATATATATTACCTTCTTATAATTATAAAAGTTTTTAACCATTGCACCACAATAACTTCAAAACTTTTAAATAACAACACAAAAACTCGATCAAGGAGACTCACTAGTAATACACCAGAAATACATTCGAACGAAGTAAAAAATCCCATTGTTTGATTGTGTGAAAATGATTGAAATATCTCAGAGATTGTGCAACGTGTTACAACGTTTCTGACACAATCGGCTAAACGAATGATTTATTATTAGAACTATTTTTGAACTCGATTTTATAATTTTTGCGACTTTATAATGAATTTCCTTGTATTATGAAATCAACTCCGGAATTATCTAACACGGATAGATAACGTCATAAATCGATTTTACCAAATATTTAACTTTTTAAACTTTCTATTTATTTATTTCTCTCCGCAAACAATTAAAAAATTTACCACCACATGCAGAACATTTTAACAATATTATTTGTGGGCATTTACGCCTGTACTGGGTGTTAAACCTGTATTATAGTGGGGGGGGGGGGAAGGGGATTGTTAGTAATGGAGACTAAAAATCCCATTTCTAGCAATATATCCAACCAGGTCGACCCGCACTATAATTAAACTATCATAGTTAATTCCTGATGAATTCATCATGATAGTCTAATTGGCCTGTTTTCATTTTCATCTATCACCCTTCACTGGTGTCAATAAATGGTTCATTTTCGTATGCAACTTAGAATGGCAAACAAGCTGAGGGCCCACCTGATGGAAAGTGGTAACCGTCGCCTATAGATATGAGGAGTACCATGGACATAACAGAGTATACTGTTTCGCCCATGATACCCTCCATGCGTTGCCATTCCTGAGGACTCAGATGTTATTCCTCTGTACCCTGTAAATTCACTGCCTTATATGTATAACACTAAAACAATAAACAAATCATGTGTAAATTTAATAAAAATGTATTGAAATATCAGTAAAAATGTGTGTCTATATTGATAGATAGATACTCTTTATTGTTTCCTTCAAAATACTAGTAAACATATTATATTGCTTGCGTCTTTGTACGCAAAGATTCTGAGAGTAGGGAAGTAACCATTTATAGATGGCGTATCAAGAAAAAAACATAAACTACATTTTAATTTATACCTTTAGGAACGTAAATGTAAAAATCATATCTAATTTAGTGCAGTATTGCGTGAATAAAGACAGACAAACGAAAATTCTAGAAACTACGTTTCGGTTCCGATTGCTTTTATTTCTTTTATTTAAGAACTGTCTTGTAAATTTTTATTAAATAATAGAAGCTAGAAAATAACATCAGTTTCCTAGTTATCAATCTAGTATATTCTATGTTATGAGATATCAAGCAGTAAACAAATTGACTTTCACATTTATAAGCTGGTCTTATTAGTAAGGATATTGACAAAATTGTGACAAATTAATCTAGAATATTTTACATAAACATCGTGATGTATTCATGAATTCATAATAAATGGATTTCTTATAATTCGTTATTTTTTTATATTAATTGGCTGTCGGTTCGGTCGACTTTCATTTTGAAATCCACAAGTCTAGATTTCGTGTTTAAAATTAAATCTAGAATCAAAATGTACGTTATTTAAAAAGAGTTGTAACAATTTTAAGTGTTTGAAAATAATTAAGGGAAATTGTTCAGGTATTTAGACATATATTCACTAGAGAGAGACTTTAGTAAAGATTAGCTATATTTTTGTCCTACCCGTGTTACTGCTATGAAATAGTGCTTGCATTACTGTGTAAAGTTGGGATATGGCACTAAAGTTACAATATGGGAGAGAGGGAGACTTTGTACAAAAGTCGTTTGCTTGAGCACCTCTATCCCATTCGTGTTTCTACAGTAAAGCAGTTATGTTTGCATGTGTTTCGGTTTGTAAGGTAGGATATGGCAGTGAATTTAAAAGGAAATAAGGAATAACAGCTGAGTCCTCAGGAATGGCAACGCATGGGGAGTATCATCGGCGTGTAAATATATAAATTTATTTGACAAAGACCAAAAATAAAAGATTATTAAAACTTTATATATTTACGCTCATATTCATAAAACGTAAACTTATTTTACAAGCTTATTTTAGCTCTTGAACTGTTTCGTTTTTCTTTTAATGCTGCATTCTCAATTTGAAAGCAAGTGACAACATACATAGTTCAATAACTAAAATAGGTTTGTAGTAGGTTTTAATTTTTTAAATAAGGGGGTTATTAATTATCTAGTCATAGTTTTTAATTCAATAATAAAATAAATTTATGTATCATAT